GATCGATTTGGCATCGATCATTGAAAACCCAAAAATGGATTACTCTCGGAAACGTTAAATGGAAAGTGTCGGTATATGGATATTGAGCTCGAGTACGTGCAACGAGAATACAAGGGACCATTAATCTCCTGACTCTCATTACATTTGGAACGAAAGCCGGCCACATTTGCCAACAGCAAGTAAACCTCCGGAGACACGACCTCGTATTTAATCCGCCGAGGAGATCGAGACGAAATGGACGTCTGTCGATTCGCTGTAAATGTCTACCCATTAATTAATTTGCAATTAGAACGAAATTATTTTTATTGACGACTCAATCAAGACCAACATTAGCATTCCCCGCCATGAGACTGTATACATTTTCCCTTTCATTGGGATTTCGAAGGTTATTCTTTTTCGACAACTGAAAAAAAATTGTTTAAATGAATTCAATGGCAATTGAAAATATTCTATTATTGAGATGTTTCTTTCTTGGAACAAGTATTATATACTTGAACCAATTTAAAAACAAAGATCTTACGGTGAATATCAATCATTTCTTCTTGAAAGTAGAAGTTGCGACAAACAAAAGAAACTTCAATTTTAGCGAAGTTCGATTTCAAAAAAATTTAATTAACTGCGTAGACACTTTTTTTCAAAAATTAAAAAAAAAACCTCTTTTACTCAAAAATTGGAGGCCCTCGACTATTTTTAACACTTCAAGCGTCTGTGGGGCAAACGAATAGTAAACGCTCAATTTTTCGCACTAATTATTCGTTTCAAGACATCGAACAATTTTTTGAACATTTGTTATTTCGAACATTTGTTGCTGAATATTCACATTCCACCGGAAATTTAATTAAGTTGTGAATTCCATCTCCTTACAACTGAAAACTTATGAATTTTCGTGAATTCTACTTAAAATCTCAAATTTCATAACCATTTTTTCCCTAAATCCGATGCAATGGCACTCTGATGAGATGTACTATAATATCTTCCATGAAATTTCAAAGAACTTCTAACAGTGTATGAAAAAAACTGTATTAAGTATTTGTCATCGATCTTTTATATTTTATAATTGTGGTCAATAAACGAAATTTATGCAGCAACCCCATTTCAAGAATGAAGGGAAGGGAAAGTCAACCCAAAAAATATTGAAGAATGACTTCATCGTTATTTATATGAATGAATATTTTTCACTTAATATCGTCGTGTTTCATTATTTGTACGTGAATAAACAGGCGTGGAGGGCACGCACTTGTGGATGATGTCATCCTCTCAATGAGATCCACGAACATTCAAATGCCACAAAGACTGAGTTGTGCACATTCCCTGTGCATTGGTTTTATCGACCAGATTCCGTATAATGTAGAAACTCAAGTTGAATTATAAACACTCAATGGCACGTTTCTATAGTTTTACAACAATGAAACAAGGTCAGTGTCACTGAGGGACAGGGTTTGACCTCATCATTCGTCGGTCGATGCCATGTGCGAGACCTCTGCAGAAGTCTGTACTTGATAATGATTTTATTACTGCATAATTGAGATGTTTATTTGTTAGGATGAACACCAGAACATTACGGAACAGTCACAATAATTCGGATTTTCTTCAACTCTTCGACATGATTAAACGATTTTGAGAAAATGCCCGTCTTCTTGGGATATTTACACGAAAAAATGTGCTCGAAAAACTTTAAAAATAATCAATTCATTAACAAATTTTCGCAAAAATGAGAAAAGCTGCAAAAATCTCAAATAGGAGAATAAATTTTCGTTTTATTCAGCTAAAGAATTCCGGGATATCTTTGAATATCATGCTTCAAATGAATTCAATCATAGTTTAAAATGTTTGTTTTAATACCATTAAATCGAAGTTAAAAGATGATTACGCTAGCTATATTGGTTAATTTGATTTTTACGATGATTATTGAAAAATTCTAATTTTTGATGAATTTCCCTGAAAGTGAGTTTCCGAAGGTTTCTTTAAATTTGGTGTTTCAAATTCATTCAAGTATACATAAATAAAATTTTTCAATCAACAATTTATCGAAGGGCTGAGAGGAGAGATAGAACCGTAAAAAAGACAATCGATTATATATAATGATGAGGATAACATTCAATTAAATTGAAAATCCGACAAAATTAGTTGAAAAGAAATCCTATTCAATTTAATAAAATGCAATAAATAAAGCATTGTACATGATAGATGGAACTGATGTGCAAAATACCCATTCGGAAGCATATTGCTCATTTATTAGTAAAAATAACTATACTATGTACAATACAATAGCAATTTCCCACTTATTTCACTAAAATCCTTGCAAGCACTTCAACTTCTGCAAAAATCGGAATATCAACTTGTTTTATGAATACAAAACTACTCCATTCGATTCTCAATTCACAATAAAAATTCCTCACTCTTTTCTTTATTCTTCAACTGTTATTTTCGAACGTGATGAATCCCACGACAATTTTTCTCCGAAGCCACTCAATTGCGTCACATCAAATGAAATTCTGTACGCCTATTGACACTAATTGTATCGAACAAGTTGATTAAATTCATTACACGTGTATCTGGGATCAAGCGAATAATTAACTCGCCCGGCTTCCAGTATTATTTTCGTCAATGGTATAAAAACACAGGATGCCCAATGACAGCAGGATCCATTTAAGCTGAATGAGTCCTCTCATAGCGTCAGGAAATGCATTTTATTATCTGAAGCAGCCGCACCACTTCATCTCAATAGCATATGCAGCCAGTGAAGTCACGCGAAATTTTTCGCTCGAGTTAAAATCTCTCTCGAAATGCGAGAGGACCACACCGTCATCACTTTTATTTGTAAACGTGAAAGTGGAGGCAGTCCTCACCATATACGACCATGACACTAAAATACGTGATGTCGTGAACCGCACGGGACGTCTGGCCTCGGATCAAAGACGGGACGAGAGATTTTACTCAATGTACCAATGACGGCGAAAAGAAGGCAAGGTCAATTGTTTAAATTCAATGATTCATTTTACTTTAATGATGTGAGTGGATTACTTTAGGCACTCCAAACTGCATGATTCATATTGAATAGATATTCTTGAAACGAAATTTATTTCCAAGTGGTTCTAGTTTGATCCATTTCTATTTTTAATTCGGGTTTGGAATTTCTATTGAGAATTTGACTAGCCCTTGCCGCATTGGAATGACACAGATTCGGTAACCAAGGTCCTGCATCGATAAAGCGCATTCATTACTACCGAAACTTGGTTAAAATGTCAATTAAAATTCTCTCTCTTAGCGTCAATTAATTAAGCGCGTGTCAGCAGTTCATTCTTCATTATACTGACTCAACAATTTCAGTTGTATATTCTTGCATTCACACCACAAATTTACAGTACGAGTTAATTCACCTGAGTTTACAGCAATCAATGGAGCTCTTCACTGTTAAAAATTATTGTCTGAAATTTCTGGTATACTTTGCGAAAATTTTCATCGAATTTAATTACGATGATTTCTTGATTTCAGGAAATCATCAGAATCTACTAGAATTCATGGAAATCAGGAAAAATGAGAAAAAATCATGATTTACAATTCTCATTGAGAAATCATTCAACGAATCACAAGAAATCATCCCATTCTATAAATGACTGAGCCACCCGATTGAAGAGTGACCAGCCCCTCGTTGGGAATTGAAATAAATTAAGGAATTTTCATCTTCATGCTGCTTAAAATTCTGGAATTTTACTGAATTTTCAGTGAAACCTGGAATTTCATGATTTTTTTCCCCTAAATCGCATTCAGTGTCACCGTCCTAAAAATCAGTAGTCAACGGTCCAGGAATTCATTTTTTTTCCAACAGTGTACACATAAAAAAAATCGCATCGATTATGCACGCTTTACTGTTCTATTCTAGCAGTGCACATGGTACAATCCGCTTGGGAAATATTGAGGAAGGTAATTGATTCATTAAATATTAAATACCTGACGGTGCTACATCCCTCCTTCACTTATAACTTTTCTCTTCTCCCGCATGAAGTAGTTTCATCATTATTCACATTGAAGTCTCTTGAGAAATCACTCCAAGTTCACTGAGATTTTTCATTCGAAATTTCTACTGTACAATAAAACGTTGAACTATTGATTCTCCGGGCCTTCGTCGAAATCCGCAGTCCCTACGCATCGTGACCTTGGCAAGCCTCCACTGAACCCGGAAACGTGTCATTTCGCGGTGATAAGATCGATAAAGTATCAACAATAATGTCCAAAGTTTGGTATTATTAAGGGTAATTATAAACTATTCATAGTTCACGTTATTTCACGTTCAAGATTCAAGTAATTATTATTCTAGAGTACTTTTTTTGGATCAACGATCTCGAGTCATGACGACTGATATCAGTGACGATGGCTTGGCAGTTGAAATGGGGATGATACCTCGACGAGCACGTCGGAACGTCTGATGGAGCTACCCGCGTGCACATTCGCCCAGGGTGGTTGCATTTCAGTCGCCAGGGTAACGGTTTGTGTACATCAATTCGACGCAGACGCCTCGGAGGCGAAGGGTTGATGCACAATCTCTCGAATGCGTGACCATTTGTCCCAATTTCAGTGGTATCTCCTCATGCACAAAGTGCATTGCAGTATTTACATTTGATATGATTAGTGATACTGGAAGACAAAATAAGACAAGAATTACGTGTTTCTCGTCTTGTTTTGTGATTTGACAATTTTCTCTCTACAACAAACATGCCAAATTTGTTTCATTACATTTCACCAGTACTTCGTACTCAATTTACATAACAGGTTCGAACTCCAGGTGAATTCCATGCTTAGTTGATAGCACTACGGCTGATATATCTATTTCAAAAGGAATTGGTGACAGCTTCGTTGGTTTCACGCGATAATTCTTGAGTATTTTGATCATCCCAACTTTAGTTTGATAGAGAGCGAATCTCTCGCCTGAAAATAAGGAATCGAGAGGTAACTTTTACAATTCATTGAGTAATTATTAGATGGGGGTTTTTGGATGTTTTTTAACTACCTATACAATTCTTTGGACCATCACCGAAGGGAATATGAGCCATTGGGTGCCTCAGACGCCTAGCCTCATCCGAAAAGCGTTCAGGATCAAATACCTCGGGATCGGGAAAATATTCAGGATCATGGTGAATAGCGTATATAGGGATGAATAGGGACATCCCTTTCTCAATGGTGAAATCTGTTCCAGGTACTTTGTAAGACTGGAATGCGTGACGCGTGAGTAATAGCGCTGGTGAATCTTTCCTCAGAGTTTCTGGAAGAAAAATCAATTCAGTTTTGTCAATTCAATTCAACACTTTCTATATGATATAATTTCTCGTCCATTTGAATTGGTTACTACGTAGAAAAAAATAGAAAAATTATTATTCTGCATTTTTGTTTATGACCATCATAACTTTTCTGATATTTTTAAGAAAAAAAAATCATTCAATTACCACCAAAATTTTCGGCTGACTGAAAATTGCGGCTCATTTATAATGACAGCCCAATGATTTTTATGAGATTTCTCTTTCGAATTCTCTTTAGAATTTTCATGGAACTTCAAGAGAATTCTTATAGAGTTTCAATAGAAATTTAGTAGAATTTTTTAGACAAAGCTCTAGGTTTTTCTATTCGATTTTTTCATGCCTAAAAGAACAAAATTTAAATTAAAGACTTTCTGAAGAAACAACCTCAACAAAATCGAAAAAAAATGAATAAAATTTTCAGATTACTATTTCACATCAATTTCTTCGGCATACCTTGAACTACCATATCAAGATACTTCATTTCACTGACGATTTCGTAGGTAAGTTTGCCATCACAATTTTTCATAGTCTCCAAAATTTCTTTCCTCAATTTCTCCTGAAGCTCAGGTGTATGGGAGAGCTCAAGGAGAGCGAAGGAAATGGTTGTTGAAGATGTTTCGAAACCTGCGGCGAAGAAAACTAGAGCCTGAGCTGCTAAATTTGCATCGGTAAACTCTGAAAATCAAAATTAAGTGAGTGAAAAACAATCCCATGGAGGAGTACGTATAAAAAAATTTAATAGAAAAACCTAGGGGAGCATGGGGCAAAATGAAACACGGGGCAAAATGAAACAGTGGGAAAATCTCGTCATCTAAAGGAGATAGGACATTTTTGAAGAGGACCTTTTTTGTAGCTTGTAAAATTCTCTACAAAAAAGGTTTTCATGAAAATCGTCCTATCTCCCTTAGATCACAAGATTTTCTTGCTGTTTCATTTTGCCCCGTGTTTCATTTTGCCCCACGGTCCCCTAGTAAATTCTCCAGACAATTCTACTGATTTTCTATTGAACTTTCTATTAGTTTTTGACCGACTCTATTGAAATGGTCAATACAAAGTATTTTATCAAAAAAGTTAATACGATTCGATTTTTCTATACAAATTATTCTATTGAATATTAATAGAGAGAAACTAATAGAACGATCAGCAGAAATCCAAAAGAATTGTGTATCGAATTCGCTAGGCTTTTCTATTAAACTTCCTCGTGCGTGAGTAGACAAATGAAGGTACTCACTCCATTCATTAACATCATTACTCCTCTTCATGCTGATGAGAGTGTCTACAAAGTCATGCCTAACAATATTCTCTCTTTCTCTCAACGCAATAGTGTCTTTGATCACCGAGATGAAGAAATCTTCGACTTGTTTGCTGCTACCTCTGAGCCCGAGGAATTTGGCGAGACCAGGTGATATCTCCCTTATCAATCTCTTGATCATCGTTATGAAATTTGGCTCAAAAATCTTCTTCCCGATTCTCCTGAACTCACTGTCGCTATTCTCCAGAGCACTCGTATCCAAACCAAAGGCACAGGATCCAATGACATCAGTTGTGAACCTGGCTATTGGCTCCTTACACTCGATGACTTTTCCATTACCAATTTGCTCCTTGAGATATTTTTCGAAATGATCAGAGCACTCGAGAATGAGATCAAACATGTGTTTGAGTTTACCACTTGTGAAGACTGGAGTCAGTTTCTTCCTCAAATCCTTCCAACGAGGTCCGTCGAGGGCGAATAAATTCGCAGAAAGTGGCTCATTCTTTTCGTCCACATTCAGTCCTCTCCCTGCGAAAGTGCTGAATTCCTTGACCAGCACAATCTTTATCAGGTCCAAGTCATTGATAACTAGCATCGGTTTGAGCCCTCTGAACCCCCCAGCATAAGGATACTTTTTGTAATCCTCATATATCTGCTGGAATACTTGAAAGGGAGCTTTTTGTTTCAAAAACACGCTAGTGAAATTCCCGAAAATTGGAAGTGGACGAGGTCCTGGAACACCTCTTCTCTTCCAATAATCCAATCCAGATGTTGCGTAGTAGTAAAACAACAATAGGAGCGCTGCCACGCCTAGAAGAACTTCCAATGATCCGTACTCCATAGTGGGTTATTTACGACTGAACGTAGAACTTGACAGGTCTCTGTTTTATTGTGAGAAGAGAAAAGTCATGTTGCGACGTAACTGTTATGACTTCGAGATCATTATCTTTGATATCAGGCAATCATGACTAAGCAGATTATTGATCGCTGCATTTTGTTGCATCGCAATGCACTAATTCGCTAATTTATTCGGCCGCCGCGCGCCGTTTTTCTTTAATTACAATTGACTGACTGGAAAAATAAAAAAAATAAGGCTTCGTCAGTTGAAGTGACGAAAGAATTATAGTAGTCTTTAGAACAATATATTTCCCGAAATTCCTAGAGAAAACAAATTATGTCGAACAGATGAATTATTTTTTCCCATGTTGAATCAAATTGTCCACAACGTGACGTTGCCGGAATCTCGCTAAACGCGCTCGGGCAGTGTAGAGTGAATTCGGCAATGCTAGAGCCTAAATAACACGGGGAATCCCCGCGGAGGTGACCAGACTCGCAGGGTTGCGTATAGTAACTATACGGCTAGGGTTAAAGAAGATTTTCAAGTTGCCTTCCCAAAGTCTTAACTTTCGAAAGTATCAACTTGAGTCTACGAAAGTCTCAATTTGAACGTTTGCAAGTCTCAAGTTTAGGTATTTGGGTTGAAAAGTCAAAATAATGAAAAAGAATTGGAAAATTCATGAGAGAAATTTTTAAGTATACTGCATCATTAAGAATAGTTGCACATTTTGTTCAGATCTCAGTTTCAAGAAAAAAAATAATGAAATTTGAATGTTTTTGTGACCCCTCCAGCTATAACCTCCGAGGTTACCTCACTCTCAATTAGGGAAATTTCCATGGCACCTAAAAAAAATAATGAACTACTGAGAAAAAACTAGTGGGTGATAATAACTAGTGGGTTATTTAAACAAATGATTTGGAAAATTATGAGTTTTAGGGTAATTACGCACTCCCGCAAAGGCGCGTGATTGGAAAGTCAGTGAGAATCATAGAAAAGGTATGGGTTGGACCATGGAACTGAGAGAGACAAAACACTCGACAGGTTTACCAACTCGAGACGCATTTTAATATTATTTAAACAATTAGAATAACATCCAATAAAAATTATTTGACACCCGTAGGTGCTGAGAAAAAAATCAATCAATGTGATAACTAAAAAGAATATTCAAAAAATATTCAAATGTACACTTAAATAGTTATTTGAAAATTGGAAAATTTCTTGCTCAGCGATTGAATCAGGGCTCGAGGCCATTAAGACTCCCCTTCCGTCTCACCACCAGGTGATCTACAGACAAAACACATTAAGACCTTTCAAAGTCTTAACTTGGGACTTTCAACACTCTAAACTCAAGAATTTCAGGTTTCAAAGACGTTTTTCAGGACGTTTGAAAATCTTATTTGAAGACCTTTAAAATCGGAAAATAAGGAATTAATTTATTGGATGTAGGAAGTGATATCAAATCAAAGTGGACTTATCTCCGTTTCACCACTCGACTACATACTACATTATGAAACAATTGATGATTTTAGCGACCAAAAAATCCTGCGATATTTCGGTCTCTAGATAAAATTAACTCTCCGAAGAAAGCCCGAAGAGCAGTAGAAATGATGATGATTGTCATCTTCACCTGTGGAATGAATGAAGGATGCTGTTGCTGAATAATGAAATAAATCGAAAAAAGTCCAATCAATATTTCATGTGATGTTACATCATTTTATTATCACCACACCAGATATAAAAATATTTCACTTTAATTTTTAAAAAATCATAGAAAATATTCTATGCGAAAAAAAATGATAAACCGGTTTTGGATTCAGCGGTTTCGCTTCAATAATTCATGCCACTCACACAATCTGTTATTTAAACTTAGAGATAGTACATCAAAGTCGAAACTGCCTCGTAAATGGTGATGGCGAAGCCAACGAAGAAGGCGAGAGCTCGGTGAGGCTGTTTGGGGACAACTGCATAGACGAGTGTGTGGACAATTCGAGCGGCAACAAATGTTCTAATGAGGATCATGGCCCAGTAGTAGGCCGGTCCAGTGGTGAGCCAAATTGCTGTCATTACGAACCAGGGGAGAATGTTCTCCAAGTCATTTCTGTGGGCTCTTCTGACTCTCTCGATGTCTGGATCATCTGTAGCTACTTTTATTTTCTTGCCGAAAGAGTCTTCGGGATTCGCGAATACCTGGGAAAATGATCGAGACAAATATTAGTTCTGACTATTCACCACCGTTAAAGGAAATGATAAATTAATTGCCAGGTGACACCTAGTCTTTTTTATTGACCACTCTACAGTTTTTAATGTATAGATTTTTAAATGTTATTCGTCTATTTTAATAGTAGATTTTTAATGTTTTTCGTCAACCCCCATATGCCCACATATGACCTCCATAATCCTTATTCTGACCCTTGTGACTCAATCTTACACTCGCGACCCTTAATCTGACCCTTGTCACATTTAATCTGACCCTAGTGACTCTTATTCTGACCCTTATGACCTTTAATCTGACTTGTGACATTTCATTCCGCCCCTTATTCTTACCCTCATGACCATTATTTTGACCCGGGTGACCCTTATTCTGACCCTTGTGACTCAATTTTACCCTCGCGACCCTTAATCTGACCCTTGTCACATTTAATCTGACCCTCCTGACTCTTATTCTGACCCTTATGACCTTTAATCTGACCTGTGACATTTCATTCCGACCCTTACGACCCTTATTCTGGTCATGACCATTATTTTGACCCTTCTTTTCTGAACCTTATTTTTGGAGTCTTAATTTCGAGTACCAAATTTTTATCCCCAGAATTCGATTTACATTTTTATAATATAGAGAAATATCAATTTTGCTCAAACATTTGCTTGTTATAAATTAACAATGGAAGTTGTTCAAACTTCCGGGAGTCTCATTGTTTTGTGGAATTGATTTGTGAGAAAATCTCTCTATATTATAAAAATCCAAATCGACTTCTGGTGATGGAAACTCGGGACTCGAAATTAAGACTCCAAAATTAAGGTTCAGAAGTGAAGGATCAAAATAAGGGTCACGAGGAGTACAATGAGGGTCAGAATAATTTCTTATTTTCTAGAGGGAGGAATTTCGATCATTTTTTAATATTGATAATTATTGAGGTAGTTCACTCAAGGTAATGTCCAAGATCATCTTCTTGAGCACCGACTCTAATAGTTAGGTGGGTGAGGTGTTTAAAAATGAAGAATAAAAAATGATCGACAATATCTTCTTCCCCCATACAAAATCCAGGGAAGAACAAACCTCAGTCAACACAAAAAAGATTAAAGCGAATATCAAAAGCGCTTGTTTTTATACAATAAGTTTTTCAATTTTATTTTTTTTTCTCTTTCATCTTTTTTTTTCAAGCGCATATAAAATCTCATAAAAAATATTGCCAAATCCCAAGGCAAAGGTTTATAAACCGCACAAACAAATATAAAAAAATAATAAATATCATAAAACTGATAAACTATTTAACTCGAGTGTCATGGAATGACCATTGGTTAATTATAGAGCAGAGATCAAACATCAAGTGTTTTTTATGTACCTGTTTTTTTTTGTATATATTGTAAATACCTGTAAATACCTAATGTAAAAATTGAATGAAGACAAGGTTAAAAAAAAAAGTGGGTGAGGTGTTGCTCCGGCGGACATCCAAGGTAAGCAGCGTTGAGCTGGGTTAGTACTTGGATGGGTGACCGCTTAGGAACACCTCGCTCACACAAAAATTACGGGCGGTAGGCACGGTGTAGCGGCCTAGTGTCTCCATCTAGTCAGTGTGACAGATATATTAGGGCACTGCACAAATCGGCCGGCTGTGCGACTGGGGTTTTACATGGTTTCCCGTGCAGTCCTAGCTCGAATGGGGCACAGCTAAGAGTAAGACGGCCATGATACCGCAGATAACAATGAGAGGAAAGAAAGAAAGGAGGGGAGGCAGGCTAGAGGAGGGGTTTCAAATCGAAAATTACTTCAATAAAACCAATGAAATAGAAAATAAAAATAAAATTATCTTCTTGAGCAATATAATTGTCATAATTGAAACCTAACGAGAATTGCCTGGGAATGACTCAACTGGAGAAATACGAAATTGAAAAAATAAATACTTGTCTCAAGTAAATGGATATTTGGCAAAGATATATTTTTATCAGTGTGTTGGACATTATCAGGGGGTTCTTAGGTCATATACGATGTAGTAGGCCTTACGTTTTTCCCAAATCTCAGTCTCCCAGTCAGCAAAGCCATTCCCAGGGTCTTCAACACCAGGACAGTGCCCCAGATGGCGAACTCCCTCAACAAATCCTCCCTAATAAGACTCATGATGCTTCAAAACTCAAAACGATAACTTTCAACGCCAAGAATCCACCGACGACTGAATAATTATCGATATTACTGACCGGCGAGTCACGCAGTTTCGTAACTCGTTCCATATCGCAGTGGCATCCCCTCCCCATCTACTGGATTATCTCCACGTATCTCTCGAAAATGACCATCTCATCCTCAATTTCTCCAGGTGGTGGGGATGCCGGTGGATCCTAAAGCCTATTCTAATTTCATCGACATTTCAACCCGTCACTAATATTTAAAAAAACGTCAAAAGTTTCCATTTTACCGCGATCTCCTCTAATGAGAAAAAATATCGATTTTTCAAATAATCAAATAAAAAAATGCAAATCAGCTGATTTCTTCCACCTCCAATACCTCGAAACGCCATCTTGGATCTCCCACGGAGATTCACGAGTCGGTAAAAACGACATTGACATTCTCAATGATATTCCTTCTTGATAAGTCGTCGCGTGGTAAAAATAAAAGTAGAAATCAAATAAATAGTGACCAAATTGTATTTATGTCCAATAGAAATTTTAATGAATCACTGTCCAATAAAAAATCAACAGCGTGCAATAGTAATTGATCATCGTGGACACGGAAAAGTGGCTCGGTGATCCCTTAGTCAATTATTATTTAAACCATATTTGAGTTTTTGGGTGGATTATTTATATGATAATATGGCATCGCGAGTTAATCAGGGTATACAGAGAGTTCTGGATAACTTAGAGGCTTCTGTTAATTCTGGAAATTACTATGAGGCACATCAGCTATACAGATCACTATACTTTAGGTAATGAGTGATGATTTTTTTTGGACAATTTTTCTGGGCTCTTTTTTGGGTTCCTGGACTTTTTTTACTGACGTGTAAATTTTTCTAACCTCCTTTCAGGTACCTCGGTCGGAAAAGGTATGCAGATTTACTTGAATTACTGTATAATGGTGCCATGCTACTTCTGCAACGTGATCAGGTTAGTGGACGATTATTAATACGTTTGAAAAAATTGAATAGGAAAATATAACAGGATAGGGAAAAAAATTCTACTGAAATTCTTTTGAAAGTCTATGGCAGTTCTATTGGGATTTTATTTATGAATTATACTTTCTTTTTGCACCAATTCTATTGAAGATTATGCAATTTTTTCCTGTCATCTTGTTAAGAGATATTGGATAGAATAAAATTAATAAATTTCGATTTTCTGTTTTCTACAGAAATTCTTGGACATAAATGTTCCAAATTTTTTCCGTTCTATCACGCACGAAAAAATTTAATAGAAAAACCTATCGAATTCGTTAGAAAATTCTATTGAATTCCCGCTAAACTGTCTACTAGTTTTTGGCTGATTCTATTGACATGGTCAATAGAAAAAATTCAATAGTAAAAGTTAACAGAATTCGATTTTTATATATAACTTATTCCTTTCATATATTTTCTATAGAATTTGCTCGACTCAAATTTTCTAAGGTTTTTTCATTCTATTTTTCTTTTCTTCTCATCAAGAAAATCAAACGAAAAAACTTAGAAAATTTGAGCCGAGAAAATTCTGTAGAAAATATCTCAATAGAATAAGTTATATAGAAAAATTGACTTCTATTGACTTTTTCTACAGAATATTTTCTATTGAACATTTCAATAGAATCGGCCAAACCTAATAGAACAGTTCAATAGAAATTGAATAGAATTTTCTAACGAATTCGATAGGTTTTTCTATTAAATTTTTTTGTCCGTGATTTTCATTTGCTTCTCATAATATAATCCAACACTTGGAAAATTCTTGTTCAAGAATTCGTGTTAAATTAATCCTTTTGCTATGAACAAATATCTTTTGAAAAACGCCACATAAATTTCAATAGATTTAAGGTAAATGACCCTACACTCGTCTAGCTAACGTGAACACATCATTAGTCCAATATTTCTATCGAAATGAGCGTGAAGATGCGATGATTTAAATTACATATCCTATTCCAATAGAAATCCTATTGAGATCCAATAGAATTTTCTAGTGAATTCGCAAAGTTTTCTATTGAATTTTTTCATTCGTGGAATTCTACTAGACCTGCAACAGCACTTCCATGCGGTCGTAGAGCCAAAGGGGCGTACCAGCTATGCTCATACCCACCACTTACACCCCTTTGGCTATACGACAACGATGTGAATGCGTTATATTTTCTTCCTAATTTTCTTGCAATGTTTTTCAACGTTCGCTGTCGACTAATTGCCGTTGTCTTCGGGGTTTTCTTTAGCACGCGAGTGGTGCTGACTTAGGAATTTTGTTCATCGATGTGTTGAATAGATCCCAGACAGAACGTACCAAAGTTTACTTCGAGAAGATAACGAATTTGTTCAGTATTATGAAGCAGGGAACACCTGAGAGAGAGACCTTCCTCCATAATGCACTTGGGTGGAGTTTGAAGCATACGAGTTACAAGTGGGGACATCCTGACCTTCATAAGCTTATTGCCGAGGTATTTTGGCAAGGTGAGATATTTGAATTGTATTTCTCCATAAGAGCTATCCATATGTTACGAGAAGTGCACACACTAAACGGCGAAAATTATGGAGAAATATTGCCTAGATGTCTTATGATAATTCATTGAACATCAGTCGTTTTCGAGGCCAATTTTTCGGTCATGACGTCACGAAGGCGCTAAGGTAACGCTCCATTGGTCGAAAAAGAAGAGAGTGGGGAGTTTTCGGCTCGAGCCATTCTGTGATTGCTCCAGCGTTCGATCGTCTGTGTGACGTCATTGGTGATTTCAAAGCGTTTGAAATCTTCAACTTTAACAACTAATTAACAATCAATGCGCAATATTTCGAACGTTTTTGAATGAAAAATGAATTATTCAGGTCCCAAACTTGATATCAGACAATTGAAAAAAATTCATGCAAGTTTCCTATTTGGTATGGTTCGAGCTCTTTTAATACTGAAGGTTGAAAATCAAATAAATCAAAATCTTAAATCTTTTATTTTAGGTCTTAGATCTTAAATCCTTTAGCTTAAATCTTTTTTATAATTTTCAAACTAGCCCTTTTGATGGCCCAAACAAGACTTGTTTCAGAATTGATTTAGAACTATTTTATTTTTCTCTCCAGGGATGCAACGCGTGTTATTACCCATCGGCGATTTTTTCCTTCTATTTTTTCGTACATCCATATGAACAATGCTAAGTGCTAACATTGTTGTCATTAATTGCAGAAAAGAATTATACATTGGCTAAGCAGCACTTTATCTATAGTCATGATGGCGCCGGATGTGCAGCAATGCTCGTAGAGATTCATCAACAACGTGGGTACTCGAACGAGGTTGATCTTTTCATAGCCCAAGTTGTTTTACAGTGAGTATTTCATTCTACATTGTCGTATTATATTAATTATGAATAATTATGTAAAGGGGATCTGATATTTTCCTTGTTATAAACGACTAAAACATTCATCAATTCAGTTGGACCTTTCACTGTTGAAAATTTTTGGCTAAAATTTCCGGCACACTTCTTGCAAATTCTTATCAAGTGACAATTCCATTGAAATTTCAGAGAATTTCGATATTGAAAATTCACAATTTGATGAGAAAAGGAATGGAAACTAAATTTTAATGCATTTTTTTTACAACTGAGAACAAATGAACAAAATTTAGGTCAATATTTCTTTGAAACTTCGATTATTGGAAAATTCAGAATAGTTTGGTATCAAATAGCAATTTTTGGATTGAAAGGGAGTGCATGTCTTCCTGCTGCCCAAAAATTCCAAATTTTCTTGAATTTCCAGTAGAGTCTGAAATGTCAATTTTTCTCTAATAGTTTATGAACTTTTCAACTCACTTTTTTCACTCATGACCGAATGCCATTCGTTCGAACACTAGAACACTTACCCTGAACGAACTCGGAATCATATAGAAATGTACAAAATATATTTCCAAGAATTACAATAGCAGAAAAATTACGCAATGATCCACTCGTCAATTAACGCAATGATCCCTTCAGGTACCTTTGTCTACGCAATGCATCAGCAGCACAGGAGGCCCTGGATTCTTACACGTCCAGGCATCCAAAAATAAATAATGGACCCCCTTACCTCCTACCATTACTCAACTTCTTGTCGTTTCTGTTAAAGACAATTCAACTGTGAGTACAGAAGCTCTTCAGGAGCGTTATTACTGCATTACTTATTTTGTTTTCAAATATTTTAACGATAATTTTTTGTCTATTTTACATGAATGACGCAAATTTTTATATTAAACAAAACGAAATTAGCTGTGCAGGAATCGAATATCAAAAAACTAATTCATAATTGTTATTGTACACATTCTTTTCAATAATTTTAAAAAGAAAGACCTCTGCAGCTCAAAAATTGGAGGCCCTGGACTATTTTTAATATTTTAAGCATGTGCGAAGCAAGCGAATAATAAACAATTATTTTTTTTGCACTAATTATTCGCTTTTAGACATCTGTAATCGATCTTCAATGCATGGGAAATCTCACTCCAATTGTCTGCGACTTTTAAAACTCATAGTAGTCTCCCCTTAAACCGGTTTACCGCTTTGCTACTGAATTATGTAACACATTTAACAAAATGTGGAAAATCTCTCCATTAACCCCTCACGTACGGGGTCGCTGCCATGCGAATGTGAACGCTTGTTTTCAAGATTAATTATTTCCAAATCTATGAAGAATAACTTGAGCGCACAAACAAAATTGGAAACCGGAATACTGTAGCTTCAATTAGAGATCGGTTTCATATTTTTCCATTCATTAGAAGTAATCGAATTCGAGTCGTATTGAGCACACTCTACGCTTGGTAACAGAAGGGCCCCGTCCGTGAGGGGTTAATCCCTTCATCGATGACGTCTTTATCAATTTTTTCAGGAATATTACAGGACTGTTTTTTCTTGTTCTTTCAGTTGCTCACACGAAATGTTCCTCATACTCTGTGAGCAGTACCACTTGAGTCTCAACAGAGACCCAAGTTATCGTATATACCTTGAGAAAATAGCCCAGCTATTTTTTAATGCCCCAGCGCCACGTCCCAAACGTCAAGGTCTCTTCGGTAATCTGCTCGAGTCACTGTTCGTTGGTCTCGAGGATGAGGACTCCGACATGGAGGAGCAGGCCACAAGACAGAGTAGTGCTAGTGGTGCATCCACCTCGCAAGCTCCCCAAGAACTTGACTGATTATCGAGGCCACTGAAAATGTATGATAATGTAGTAGAGCAGATATTTACAATTTCGTTTACATTTCTTTCTTTCGCATAGACAAGTTTTCACACTCGGTTAGTGCACCCATTGATTCATGAGGATGAGTTTTAGACCCTGAAGAAAAATAGAAAATCGTTAGCTCTTCCTTTTTGAACGAGAAGTGCAAGGATTATGATTGACGATGAATGTGAGCAACATAACAGCGAAATTTGGTGTAAATTATTTTTACTATTTTTATCCATCTTCTAAAATTAACTTCTTACAGCTATTGACGCGCTGAATAAAAAGCAGTAAATGGAAATTTGAATTTCTATTGGAGAACTCAAGAGAATAATCCTGTCAGATTTCTTATGGAATGATTGTGACAAATGCAGACTTCCTGCAGAATTTCTTTCAACAAGATTTCGAATTTCCTGCGCACTGAGAGAAAAAAAATATTTTCCTAAACAAGTCTTGTTTGAACCAAAAAAATCTGTAGTTGAAAATTTTAAAATATAAAATCTACTGCTGACCATCTCAGGATTGTACTGAGATGGAAAATTTTTGTTGGAAAAATAGTTTTAGTAATTAAAAAAAAAATTCTCAGAGAAAGCGTTAGATTTTCCTGTTCAATTTTTTGTATCCGTGCTTGTATGACCGTGGATGGCTGTTAGTTGTTAATTTTCGATTATTTGAAGGAGATAACAGAACATTTGCTGCCGAAAATTATCCATATTTTTCGAAATTCAAAAAAGCTCATCAATCTTCAAGATCATCAGATGAAGATCGATGTGCTTTGATGTCGAAAAATATTAATAACTTTGAGCAGGAAATTTGTTCGAAAATTTCGAAGAAACGGTGGTATTCCGTTACACCTTAAGGGTTGAAGACAATGCATCACATTTCAACTCCTCGATGCCTTTACGTTCTCATCTAGTCTTGAGGTAAATTCAAGACTTAGTGGTTACCCCTGGGTATCGACAATTTATCTATTGACATTGATCTATCATCTAATTATTTATTGATTCCTTTTGTTTTTTACTGTACGATATCTTTCTGTTGAATCATGGGGAAAAGGTAATGATAATACATGATAAAAGAACACGAATGAAAAAATTTAATAGAAAAAACTAGCGAATTTGCTGGACAATTCTATTGTATTTCTACTGAACTTTCTATTAGTTTGTGGCCAATTCTATTGAAACGTTGAATAGAAAGTAGTCAATAGAAGCAGTCAATAAAATTTTATTTTTCTATGCAACTTATTCTATTCAGATATTTTCTATGAAATTTCCTCGACTCAAATTTTCCAAGTTTTTTCCTACGATTTTTCGATTTTTCTTATCAAGAAAACGAAGCAAAAAACTTATAAAATTTGAAACGAGAAAATTGTATAGAAAATATTTCACAGAAAAAATTAATAGAATTCGATTTTTCTATACGATTTATTCAATTGAGATATTTTCTATAGAATTTCCTGGACTCAAATCTTTAAAGTTATTTTATTTGATTTTGTTGATGAAAATAAAATAAAAATAGAATGAAAAAAACTTGAAAAATTTTAGCCGAAGGAATTCTATAAAAAATAATTCAATAGAATAAGTTGTATAGAGAATAGAATATTTTCTATTGAACATTTCAATGGAATTGGTTAAGATCTAACAGAAAGTTCAATAGAAGTCAGATAGAATTATCCAGCGAATTCACTAGGTTTTTATATGAAATTTGTTTATACGTGAAAAGCTAGTTTAATGGAAATGCTTGAAGTAACGTGTATTAATTGTTGATTAAGGAGTGTGACTTGTGGTGTGCTCATTTTAACGAGCTTTACAATTGCGATATGGACTATGTCGATGGAAAAAAAATGGAGGATTATATATTGTACAAATAACTACGAGTTTTAGGTGGTAATTACGACTTGTGGCAGATGAGTCCGTTTAAAAGGGTCAGGCCAACGTGAGCGAGCGAAATTTATCATGCGAACGTTACTTGCAGATTCTGGTCTGTTGAGTGTAAAATAATGTAACTTTGCCAAAAAAAAGTACTGGAACGTTTCTATTCCACGAGTCTTTTAGTGGGTTGCAATACACTAAATAAATAAATCTACGTAAATTTGTAATTCGAGGGAATTGGAAAGAAACACGTGTGAAAATTTTTTATGAACTCGTCCTGTGGAAAATTCTGTGGAGTACTCGTAAAAGTTCCGTATGAAAATTTGTCTAGAGGAATTTTCAATATAATTCTACTAGAAATTCAATGGAGTTTCATTAAATTAGAAACCCTTTTAGCCCTTCTCTGAATTTTCAAGGAGTATCTCCGAATCTAAGGTAGATAACAAAATTTTCGTAGTGACCTTTTTTGTAGAGGGAACTTACGACTACAAAAACGGTAATTACAAAAATTTTGCTATCTCCCTTAAATTCAGAGATATTCATGGAAAATCAGCCAATAGTCAAAATTGACACGAGTCGTTTTACCACTTCGCTATTGAATAGAATTTCCTAGCGAATCCGTTAGGCTTCCTTTTAATTTTTTTCATTCGTTCATGGAGTTTCAAATGAGCGAAATACAAATTTCCAGAAGGAGGAGATTTACAGAAATTTTCCTCGAGGATCGTCCCCTTGAATTCCACACGGAAGATGTCTATAAAATTTTTCATACGTAAAAAATTAATGCATTTTCCTTTAAAATTCAATCCTGAGAAGAATTATTTTGTCACTCACGTACGTACTATAAAATCAATGATTAGATGTACTTGTAAAAAATTAATAAAATTTCTCGGATTTGTACATAATCAGTACGACCATATAGAGTACATCCAAGGATTTGTCTCTAATGTATGTGCGCAATATTTGTATTCGACTAATGCAATAATGTACTGATCAGAGCGGGATGATGGTAATAATAATTGTCTTGGAGCAATAAAAGAAATCATTTTACAAAAATGTTTATTTTTCTTTCATACACTTTCTGTATAAAAATAGAAATACCATGTGTTGATTCTTTAAATACATACGGTGAATGTTGCGTAATGCTGATAATATTATCAGAGGGATGAACAAGGTTGGTAATTGCTTAACGGATGTGTGGAAACAACTGCGTTGGTGCAGTCTTGTTTTTCAGTATTCATCGTACCCAGGCATTGGGAACTTTCGAGAGTAACTTTCGACCTCATCACGGAGGGCCTTGACTTTCGATTTGATTTCTGGGTCGGTCTCCAGGACTGATCTGAAGTCCACGAGCTTGGGGCCAGACTTTGCTGTCACTTCTTTTGATAATTCGAGTCCTGAAACAAAAATCAATATGTCGAAATTCACAAAGGATTTCTCTCTTAAGTTGCATCTGATAATAAAATTCCTCATAAAAATTTTTCCATCTCGTGCTCCCCTCCCCTCTCCAGCAAATGAAACAGTCGAAAAATAACTGTTCGACATAATTCAAGCAAAAAAATTTTTTTCCAACTTTCTTTGTCATTGGGAGTATCGATGAGAATAATAATTTTTCATTCACTAGAACGGGATGGAATCTAATCAATTGAATTATAGATGAAATATTTCATATTACTTGAAAATAGAACTGTGGATAAAATTAGTGAAAATTATTAATATTGTCGTCTCGATATAAGCAATATATGAAAAACCTTTCGAATGAGAAGAGAACATAGACTCAGCGATAACGAGGTCTTAGTTTGACTACTGGAGAGTCAGGGGACAAGCTGACTAGTGAACGTTGAGATCGAGATTTAGCAGGGGAGTGGGATTCATCTGTGGAAGTAGTCGATAGATTTGTTTGACAATGTGTTTATTTTTCTCTCAGTGCAGGGGTTTCGAATATCAGTGATTTTTCGCATCAGTGTTATTCTTATCAGTATTCTCAAAAATAAAAAAAGACAAAAAAAATTGTTTGCTCCCCTATTCCCCCATCGAATTATTTACCTCTATGAATGAAGTCAGCAATGTCATCCACGTGTTCCTCCGTAATTCCCCTAGTCGTCAATGCAGGCATTCCCAGTCTAATTCCGCTGGGATTGAAGGCACTTTTGTCCCCAGGCACTGTGTTCTTATTACAAGCAATCGAGATGTCCTCCAGGATCCTCTCAGCCTTGGATCCAGTGACCCCAGTGTTCCTGAGGTCGACTAGAAGCAGATGCACATCAGTCCCACCAGTGGTGATCTTGTAGCCACGTGCTTTGAGACTCTCGCACAGCTTCTGCGCATTCTTCACCACCTGCTTCTGGTAATCAATGAACTCTGGCAGCTGGGCTTGTTTCATAGCTGTTGCAATGCCAGCTATTTGGTGATTGTGGGGCCCACCCTGGAGCCCCGGGAACACTGCAGCATTGATCTTACTCTCAAGGTCGTACATTATCTTTTCACCGTTTTTGCCGATGCTTCTGACTCCCTTTCGGAAGAAGATGACTCCTGCGCGAGGACCCCTCAGGGTCTTGTGGGTAGTTGTGCTGACGACGTCGCAGTGGTCAAAGGGACTTGGAATCACCCCAGCTGCGACCAATCCGGAAATGTGCGCCATGTCGGCGAAGAGGTAGGCGTTGTTCTCATCAGCAATCTCTCGGAATCGCTTGTAGTCGAGGCATCTGCTGTAGCAGGAGACTCCGGCAATTATGATTTTTGGCTTGAAGAGTTTTGCGTTCTCTGATAGTTTATTGTAATCGATTAATCCAGTCTCTGGGTTTACTTTGTAGGGCATCGACTCGAAGAATATCGAAGTCGCTGAGATTTTTTTGTTCTGGGTGAAGAAGCCTGAAGTTTTTTTTCAATAGGTTATTATTAATGATCAGGAGGAATGGGGAACTTGAGAGAAGAGAACGGAATAGGGAAGTCGATATTTCACGATTTTTAAGATCATTTATAAATATTTTGATGGTGTTTTGCTATAAGTGTGAAGGAATATTTACGGTCGGGGTTAATTACCTCAGTTAAAAAAAGTCTTTGGATACTTTACCCTAGAATGAACCATTTTCGTGCAAATCGAGAAGGACTAGAGTCTTTGCACAAAAACATTTCATAGAAAATATTTGAAGAGATTAAGTTATATAGAAAAATCGAATTCTATTGAATTTTTCTCTTGAACATTTCAATAGAATCAACTAAAAACTAATAGATATTTAACAGAATTTTCTAGCGAATTCGCTACTTTTTTCTGTGAAACGTATTTTAAAATATATATTTTTCTCGTTGCATATAATTATCAAGTATTGTTGAGGCTCACCATGTGTCAAGTGGCCACCATCTGGCAGATCCAGTCCCATAATTCTGCCATGAGGCTCAATGAGACCGGTGTAGACAGCGAGGTTTGCTGGACTACCAGAGTAAGGCTGGACATTGCAGCCCCATAACTCGGGGTCAAGTCTGTAGGCAGCTAGAGCTCTCTTCTGGGCCAACCACTCGATCTGGTCGATATATTCATTTCCACCATAATATCTAAAAAATTTGAACCTCATCATCTACCTTATCCAATTTATGATCATCGGAGCACTCCGCACTCAGAGAAAAACAAACAAGTTTTCAATCGTCTTGTTTGAGCCAACAAAATCGCTAGTTGACAGTTGCCAAAATAGAAATTGTTTGATTGAAATTTGAAAATCTCAAACGTGAATAATTACTCTGCTTTCGACAACACCGAAATATTTTGCTCAAGATTTTCTCTCAGTGTGGAGATGATGAATGAGTGTTTACCTAGCACCTGGAAGTCCCTCACTGTATTTATTATGGAGACAAGAACTCAAACACTGGAGGACACTCAGTGATGTGAAATTCTCACTTGCAATCATCTCCAATCCACAATTCTGACGATGTTTCTCCTTTTTGATGAGGTCGAACAGCTCGGGATCAGTCTCCCAGAGATTTTTGTGTAAAACTCCAGCCATTTTCTGAAATTCAAAAATTCACTTAGAAACCACTCAGTAAGAAATTGGCGGAGCGTCACCAGTCACACGTATGAAAAAATCCTATAGAATTTCCTATAGAATTCACTATAGGGTTTTCTATAGAAAGTAACGCCCAAAATTGAGACTCGAAACCAATCGGTCACAAGGGTCAGGATTAGGGTCATAAATCTGATAGGAAATTCTATAGGGAATCCTATAGAAAATCCTGTGAGAAATCCTATTAGAAAAATCCTATCGGAAATGTTCGAATTCTCCATAGGATTTCCTATAGAAAATCCTATAGGATATCCTATGGGAAATTCTATAGCATTATTTCATACGTGGCAATTTTCTTGTTTCTCTATTCTTGTAGCTGGACAAATTTTCTACAAACTATCTCTTGACATTTTTTGTGAAAATCACTCACGATTACGATTCGTCAATCAACAAGATGCAAAACTCATAAATTTAAACATTAATTTAAACATTGAATTATTTTAATAATAATGAGACGACAGCATGATTTTGGTCATGTCAAGGGACACGTTTGTCCATAAATCCTCCGGCTAAAAAAAATGTTTCTTGATTTCTTCGCCCAAATCAATTAATCAACGAGAGTTCGATATTGACTCATTCTGTTAAATTTTGGAACTTCAACACTTTAGAATCAATTCTCCAGACCCCTTTGATCGACATTTCAAGGGATTCTTGTTTCTTCAATCAACAAGATGCCAAACTTAATAATTAGGACATTAATTTAAACCTGAAATTATTTTAGTAACAATGAGTCGAGGGCATGATTTTGGTCATGTCAAGGGATACTTTTGTCCATAAATAATCTGGCTAAAGCAATGTTTCTTGATTTCTTCTTCCAAATCGACGAAATGTTTAATAAGGGCTCATTCTGTTGCATTTTGACTTTTCAAACCTTTGAAAAAACTTCTCCAAAGCTCGTTCATTGGCATTTGAAAGGTCTCTTGTTGTTCCAATTTATGTAACTGGATAAATTCCCGAAAAACTGTCTCTTGAAATTTTTTGCTAAAATCACTCATGATTACGATTTGTTAATCCACAAGATGCGAAACTTACAAATAACAACGGTAATTTAAACGTGAAATTATTTTGATAATAATGAGTCGAGGACATAATTTTGGCCATGTCAAGGGACACGTTTGTCCATAAATCATCCAGCTAAAAAAAATGTTTCTCAATTCTTGCATCCAAAGAAATTAATCAACGAGATGTATAATATAACTCATTCTGTTACATTCTGGCACTTCGAAAACTTAGAATCACGATTAAAGATTGAACCACTGTGATCACTTACAGAGAAACGAAACGATTAATGGAATAGAAATGATTTAAACAGCAATCGTGAAGATATTGGCTTTGGGAACTGGTCTGTATCGTCGTTGATTACGGAATGAGGAATGAAGATTATTCAGCTCCGTATTTTGTGAGGGTAGACAAACGCTGAGGCAATAACAGATAACCCAAATGGTGGTGCAACTAATCATTTGCGAAATATCATCTTCTGATGTACATATTACAAGCGACATTCAATGTAACTGACAAGAATAAAAATAGTGCTGATGTGTTCCTTCTGCTTCAGTCAATATTTATGTATTTTATGTGCGTTGTAATTTTTTGCTCTGAGAATTTAATCAATTCTTTTCTGTTATTGCATTTATTTCATTCAATTTCATAAACAGTCGTCTGATAAATTTTGTTCTAGTTCTGCATGAAGAGATGAAGTTATTTATTTATTTAATATTGATAATACTTACGTTTTGCGAACGCCAACAGGTCGTCGTAGCCACGTGCTTTGACGAGATGAAGATTAGTTTTGGGATGTGACCTTGGAGCACCGGCCCCTTTATAGGCTCCAGACTGTTGATGAAAACATTTCCGACCAATCGAGCAGACCGAACACCATGGCACGTCCAGTTTACCGCCATCGTGAAGTTGACACCGACTAAAAATCAATCCGAACGTTTAAATCAGGCCCTACAATTCACAATTTTAAAGCGTGAACAATTTACTGATTTTTCAAAGTCATTTGCGAGAGTAATACCATGAAGACTAGCATAAAAACTGTTTTTATAACCTCCACTGTATTAGCGGGAAAATAATATCCCAGTGATGGTGGGAATTTCCGGGGAGGCAATTTCCGGGCTTTTGAATGTACTAGCGCTTGCGGCCGGAGTGTTGAGGCCTGATTCGCTATTTTTTTAAAATTAATTGTTTATAGTTATTCTTATTGCAAGAAACAATACGACCGATGAGAATGGTATGTCCCCATTTATCAGCTTTTAAATTCTCATATTACAATAAATGATTTGCTCGTGTTCTAATTTTTTTTCCATTTGACAGTAGCGGCGGGTGGGGTAAAATGGACACTAGACTTTTTTAAAATTGTTCATAACTCAGAAACAAATTTATCAATTGAGCTCAGTTTAGGCTCAACAATTGGTTGAAAATCAAAGACAAGAGCAGAGGGAAATTCAGCGAAGAACGTGATTGACGACATTCTTTTCGGATTGCTCTCGATATCGCCTTTCTCTTCACTGTTCTCCAATATTACAAGTCGATGATTGCGACCCTACACCATATGGTAATGATTGCGTATTAATGATGAGGATAAATTGAGAAGTGTGGGAAATGCAGTCATTCAAGTGATTCTCTAGGAATTGATCGATTGTTACAAATATTGATATTCAACATTTAAAATTAGTGTTAAACATTGCTGTTTGTTTTTTAATTCATATTTCAGTTGCTTTTTATCACTTTAGAAACAGCAACCTCGGTGTAAGAAATTTATGTACGAAAGGAAAGAATAACAAAAATATTGATTTTCAAAAGTTATCCGCAACTCTTTGAGCAATCACAAACGTTAAAAATAGAATTAATTTGATAAACGACGAGTTCCACTAATGAACATGTATCTATATATAATTGTCCTGTCATATAAATATGTCTATGGAAGGACAATTGATAAAACAATTTAATAACAAGGTGGAAAAGGAAGATAAAATTATTAGAGTTTTTGAAAAGTATCTTTGCATGAAAGAGAAATAGCAGATTTTTCATTTTAATCTGTTTTGTGGCTTTAATTTTGTTCTATAAAAAAGGTCTTTATGAAAATTTCTCCATCTTCGTTAGATTTGAGGCTATTCAACGGTTATTCACCCACAATTTTAGTTGACTTACCTCGTTTCACCACTTCGCTACTGAATTGAACGGGAAATAAGACACACACGTGTCTTATTCACACTGTGCAACGTTGAGCGACTTTCTCAAGTTGCGGGGGCCTGCATACAGGTGAAATTACCCCACATAAACTAAAAAAAATTAGGGTGAGTAGTTCATTTTCAGAAAACATTTCATGGAGATCATCGACAAGAATTATTTTTCTGATCTGTACTAATTAATTAAACACCTGAAAGTGGTAACGATCGTCCGGGTCAACGTACGCCTGTATTTTCATTTTTGAAATTTCATTTTTTTCCTAACAGTGTACTCTTTAGTTTTTCCTCACACTTTTCTGTCTTCTATTCGCTTTCCATTCGAAAAATTTAATCCTCGGGGTTTGTTATCAACGAGGGAAGTCTAAAAACTCCTCTTATCACTGTAAGACGTTAATACCCCCCAGCTAGTGTCACCGAGGGTCAACAAAACACGATTACCCATGCCGCGTGAGATACTCGCGATTTTTCTTACCAAAGGACGTCATTAGAATATTGCACTGACTTTGACTCGCTATCAATCGTTTATTTTATATCGTAATTTTATTGAGATTACATACCCTTGCTTCACTCAATGATGTTCAGCACGTTGCTGGAGTGCGTATGGAGACGATCAATGGGCGACTGGAATAATTTTTTATTTTTCACTCGACTTCGGGTCTTCTTGATAAACCCTGATAACCCTGGAGATTGAGATTTTAGGAAATTGTTTGTTTCGTTGTTTGTGTTGTTCTCGTGCAGAAGACATTTTGTCTATTGAAGAGGAAAATTTTCAACTTCAGAATTTAATAATAAATTATCGATTACGCATCATTACTTATTTCCTTCCGTTATTAATCAATTAATATTCTGGAACGAAGAAAATTATGTTGTTCAGGAAATTTACAAACACGTGTGCAGTAGTCCCAGATGCAATTTTCGTTATGTAATAATTTTTACTGGGAGTTACTGCGCATGTCCTCAACAATCAATGAAGAACCTCGAGACAATCGAAACGTGGGATGAACAATTGGAATAAATAAAAATAATTAATGAGAACAAGAAATACAAATAGCTGAATGTTATCTATTTTATTATTAATATCATACAGTTATAACTTAAACAATTTTTCCATTCACATATTAAATTTATGCGATGTTTTCTGCAAAAGAGGAACAAAAAATATATGACCACTTTCTCTCTCTCAAAAAAAATTAATCATTATTAAGATATTAAAATCGCAATTTTCCGAGTTCTTTTCACTCTCTCTTCAGCCCCCAGTGAAAAGAATCATCAATAAATCATCGTCGTCGATAAATTAATAAACGAAAAATTCATAAAAAAATTCATATAAACAATTATTTTATAAACAAGTGATGAACAGAGTGATCCGTCGAAAAATAAATAAAAAATTTGGATACCTGAATTTTTCATCTTTTCATCAATCACTTGATTCAATTGAATTTTCCAGTAGGCAGAGAGAAATGAAGAAATTTCATTGAAAAAAAAATATAGAAATCATGATCGACGACAGGTGCTCAGTGTGAAGGCCCTGGAATTACAATATCCATGGAAAAAAGTCTTCAGGAAGATGCATGCGTACATTAATCATACAAAAATAAGATAAAAACGCGATGCAATCTAACCATAAAAATTTTTAAATACCTAGTCGTGACATTATTATATTACAGAAAGTAATTCTTTAGTTAATTATGCTGAGAGATTACTACTCATTTTAATTCGGAAATATTTCTTCAAATATTCACATCATCAGTGTTCGCAAAGTTCCAGCATAAGTTCCAACTAAAATCCTAAAAAAAATTTCAAATAATAATTGTAGTAGAGTGCCATTAAAAAATGAGTGCAATATTATTTTTATTTGATGTACGATTGAGAGATGGGGCTGTCCACAATTTTCCCAGATAAATGCACTTTCAGAAGGTAAAATAACATTGTCCATGATTAATTGTTTATACATCCAGTAATTATTTGCCTAATTATTTCCAAATCAAAATGAATATTTCTTCAGGTATGATTCAGTCGTTCTCGATACCCGGCGTTGGATTTAATCCTCTGTGCACATTTATTTATATTTCCACTTAATTCTCCATCTCTTCATTTATTTCACTTCGTTCAGATGAATAAATCCTCACAATTTTTACCCCTGCACTTCATCAGATCGATTAAGAGTTAATTCTAAAAACTCCACTCTAAATTATCACCTAATCTACGATTGATTGATTGATAATAACACATTTATAATACGTTGTATATTAAGTTTTGTTTACTCCATTTGCTTTTTTTCTTTCATTTATTAATTCATTTTACGGTTTTATGGTAAACCTTAGATCTCATATAATTTATTTTCACATTGGAGAAACGCCGGAATAACGAGACGAGTTATCAAATCGCGCTGGCCTGGTTTGATTAATTGTTTTCGTCACAAAAGTCGTCGCTAGTATTTCATTATTTTGTTTCATTTTAACTTTTTAAAAATACTAGGAATTTTTATATACTCATTATTTCCTTTCATTTCTTCGCGAGTGAAGGGGAAAAATTTATCATTTTTTAGTTGAAGCACATTAATCCGAGAAAATCAATGCCAAATGAATTTTCTCAATGCATGTGATGCCCTTTTTATAAATAAAAATTCATCGTCCCTCGAGTTGAGGGAAAAATAAAATTCTCATTCTTTTTCGCTGCCCTTCAGTGTTAAAAACCGTTCTTCATAACTTCACGATTATTTTTCATTCTCTTTGTATCCATCATCAGCATAATTATTGGATCATGTGAACTCTCAAAAAATTTCAGTTGTCGTTCTCTCGATTTGAATTTATTGAATTCTCACGTGAAATTAATTTTAGTTGTTCGACTCTATTTAATGATTCTTCATTTGAGACAGCGGTATCACGTCGTCCACTTACAGTGCCATGACCTCCCTCGATGCACTTAACAAAGAGTTCCTGCATACGTAACAAGGATGGCTGACTCGGTCAATTGCTCGCTTCCGCATGAGGATTTTATTCTTATTTTTTTTTTCGTTTTCGTTTGTCGGTTTAGTTTTTAGGTGAGAATTTAATTGTATATTTTAATAGCCTTTTCGAGGTAATTAACTCGGGAACGCTTTGGGGCTTTGTTGACGTGGTCTAGACCCAGCCAAGGCCTCTGCAGTGGTGCATCTGATTCGGGAAGAAATTAATAAATTAATGAATGAAGTTGTTTAGACTTTTAGGGGGACATTATTATGAGTTTCAAATACTACGGGTTATTGAAGAGAGGATCTCCATATTTTCCCTCTACATGTTTTTTATATGTAAATTTTTCAGATGAACGGTTTTTTTTCCTCCAATATTTTCAAAAAATGAGTAGAGGAATAATTACGACTCACTCTTTCGATATTCAACTCTTAAATAGCGCAATTTACTTTTTTTTAATAAAAAAAATTCAATAAACATGTGAAATTTCGATTATAGAAAAATGAAATCGTAATCTTTTTTCTATACATTTTTTGGAGAATTTTAGGGGAAAAAGGGTTGTTCAGAAAAATTTAGGACATTTGAAAGTTTTTTCGGGCTATAAATAATGGGTTTTTTATGCTAAAAATATGACTAATTGAGTCACCAAAATTTTAAGCATATCCAAGTATCTTTCACCGTCTGGTAGAGACCATACTATACATTCAATCATTTTCAATCGTCAAATTTATCAAAATTCGTGCAAACGAACAATAAACAATTTTTTTTGCCCAATAGCCCACGACTTTTAATACTCATAATAGTCTCCCCATAAAACTATTTTGAGGGGCAAGGGATACTTACTCTGGTTGGGAACGGCTCGGAAATCAGCGAGATTTATGAAGTAATCCGTCTCATCGGTGATAAACTGCGCTTTGCCCATTGACACGATCGCGAACTTAAACTTTAAAGTTTTTATGAACTCTCATAATGTATTGAGCGTTTACGAATTCAGTAGTGAAGTGGCGGTACAAAATGAGTCAACTTCACGATGCAATAGGGAAATTATAATTTTTTTAGATTAAAGCCCGCTTGTGTTATCTTTTGAACGTGATCTTGGTTGTTTTTTTATTTTGATAATCTGAAATGTTCTGGAATTGCCATTCAATTTTATACAGTCCTGGAGTCTAAAAAAATTATGATTGTACAATCAACAAAATGTTGGAAAAAATTGTACATTTTCAAAGAATCTTTTTGAATAATCTTGGGAAACTAGGGGGCTACGCCCCTGCTCGCTCCGCTCACCAACCCCCGTATGATCCACACATGACCTCTATAAGACCTGTAGATCTTTGATCTGACCCTTGTGACCCTTGTTTGGACCTTCATTCTACCCCTTGTGGCCCTTCATTTTCGAGTCTTAATTTCGCGTACCAAATTTTCATCACCAGACGTCGATTTGGATTTTTATAATATAGAGAGATGAACCCAATATGAAGAAAATTGTAAATTAATAATTTACTGTATCTAATGACTGTTCGGCCGTCATTTGTCAGAGTAGCTAATGGCTGGCAGATCGTTGCCATGGTTAATTATCCATTAAAAATTGCCTCTATCAGACTTATTTCCTACTCTTTATTAAGGTGTTTCGTTTGAAAAAGGTAAATAATGCCAGTCATCTGGAATTCATACAGAATGAAAGATTCAACTTCATACATCCTGTATAATAACATCGTTATGAAGCGCGTAAAAAATTGACGTTGAAAAAAGAATGGGTTTACCCTAGAAAAAAATTAGATTGAAATTTTCTACCGTTTTCTAAATGGGTATATAACTTTCCAAGTTATGGAGTGGAGTTTCCCACTTATGATGGGATTTACCAAAAAAGATTCTTGCAAAAGTTTAGTTAGTTCTCTCAAAACTTGACATATTTTCCAAAAACCAATCTCCACAGATTGATTTTTTTGTCCCAAAGTGAAATTTACAAACAAAAAATCTTGTAAAAATTCTCCATCTCTCGCAGATATCAAAATTTGTTTTCAAAGTCTGTGTTCAAGTAAAATTGACTCAACTACTTCACCACTTCACTACTGAATTCAATTGTAGATGCTTACCTTTTCGAATTCTTTCTCTGGTACCCCTAGTTTCTTTAATAACCTGTCCTTGACCTTGGTAAAGGGCTCACCCTGTGGTCGAAAATAAAAAAAACACCGTAAGAATAATAATTTTAAAAAAACATAATTAAAAAAATTGGTTGAGGATGTTTAGCCATTCTCCACATTTTCGTCTGGATTAATGAATTAAAATCCCCATGAAATTGAAGAAAATTAGCTTCTCCTATTTGTGATTCAGGATAAACATCCTCAAACCCGAAAAAAAAGACAATCTTACATGTTTGATCTTAAACATAAATGGAATTCCAAAAGTGGAGAAAATGTCCTTATGGAAATGAGCAACAGGTACAAGAATCTCGTCCTCGGCGAGGCTCAGCTCATCCTTTGGTACCTCCTCTATCCTGTAAGCCTTGGTGCCAAGTGTATTGAGGGTTTCGAGTGGAGTATCCTCTTTGGGACCTGGCACGAGTCTACTGCAATTAACCTCGAGTAGTCTCAACTTGCCGGAACCATTTTCGGAGAACTCGACCTGCTTCTTCGCCTCCTCGAGGAGTGTCGCAACAGTGCCATTTTTGTTTGGATACAGAATAATCTCCTTCTCCTCTTTCAATGATGGTCCAACCCAGATGCATTTGAATTGTTTCTTATTCTCTAGTTCGTTAACTCGAATACTCAATTGTTGGTAGAATATTTTCTTTGTCTTTGGCTTACAGTAGGCGACGAGATCCTTCAGGGTACCGTCGAATGTACACTTCAAGGGGTGGCCTGGTAAGTCTTTATAATTTTGACACCTGAAGAACTGTAATAAATAAGGATCAGTGCCAACTCGCTGTGCGACAGCCTTTGCCATCTGATCGTACGTCATCCTGAGAGATAGGTCCATTGTGAATCCAGGATCATTTGGTATGGTCTTGTCGCAGAACGTAACTTCTACCCTGTAGAACAGATCCTTGAAGTAATCACGACACGTTGGTAGCTCATACATCTCATGATCCCTCTCCTCCTTCTGGAAAACAATGATATCACCGTCCATAAGCTCCTCCAGCACCTTCTCCAGTGGCTCCGTCAGATTCTCAATTTTCTCCACCATGTTGGGCTTGATCTCCTCGTAGAGAGCTAACTCAGTATCAGGGGCGAAGCCTGCCCTCTCATTGAGAATGGGAATGAGCTCCTGGACCTTGGCTGTCACTGGCATGTAGTGGTGCCCAGCGTAATGTATCTTCTTATTCTTTGGATCGTAAAGTTTGAAGAATAATAATACATCGGTGTCCTTGTCGAAGGGTGGGAGGGCAGTCAGGCCGGAATCTGGGGGAACTAGCTCGACGAACACGTGCCAGGGGTTGACGTTCTCGGCGCACACTGTCATTGTCTTCTGGAGGTCAGCCTCGGGCTCGATTAGGGTTGGTCTACAGGTCTGGTTCGTCCTGGCACTGAATGGCCAGACTCTGATCTGCTCCATTGGGTATTTCTGAGGGAGACAGTTAAATTAGGCCTCGAAGTGTACAGTCAGTCAGAAATTTATTCATTAGTGAAGCTATTAAAGTAGTATATCTAAACTCAACGTAAGTCGTTGAGGGTGACAAGGGAAAATATATTTAAAATTCCGGAAAACAAATTATTCATCATTGATAATTTCTGACAAAAATTTTGTTATCTCGCTGAACCGTTGCAAAGGTTCTGACAAAAATTTTGCTCCCTTACATTCCGAGTTATTCATTAAAAACTGCCCAATAGTCAAAATCGACTTAACCCGGTTTACCGTTTCGCTACTGATTTCAGACTATCAAAATAAAAAAAAACCAAGATCACGTTCGAAAGATAATCCACCCGGGCCTTCAGCCGTTTCACCGCTTCGCTACTGAATTTATTTCAGATTTTAATGTTAAAAATGTAAATTATGTTTACGTGACTTCAAAAAATTAATGAATTCAAAATATTGGAATTCATTTTGGAGCTCAAAATTGATTTAAAAAATTCCAGCAACATGTGTTAATAATGGACTTGATAAAACTTACCAAACTCTCGCTGAGTAATTCGAGAAATTCATGGAGTGTCGCCTGTTTGCGAACCCGAAACATTCGATAATGCGCGTGTTCAGGATCATAGAGATCATTCCCCTGGTGTCCATCAAAGCTATCCTCAAGAAGTACGTTCACAGTCATATACAAGTATGCCTCGTTTCTTTCCTTTCTTCTTATTTGTTCCAGCCTCTTCTCCTCTTGTAGCCTCTCCACCAGCTAGACCAACAAAATTAAAATTATCCAAGTGTATACAGAATTTTTTTCTCTTCGAGCTTTCTCGCAATATTGCTTTTGCCAATTATCAATTTTTTTTTTCCATTCATTTTAATTTTTCTCTCTTTACGATCGAAAAATTCATTTGGATTTTTTCTTTATCAATTATCACTGCATTTCAAATAATTTTAATTTTGTTCATCTGCCGTAATAGTCAGCACTTTTTTTTATCGAAAATTATTAAATGTGATTACAAAATGAAAATTATTCAGCAGGCGTAGTTCATTGGGAATGGGGTGCATGAAATATCGATAAGTTGGATAAGATGCGTTACGATACAGCTCTGGAGTTAGTGGAAATAAGGAGACGAGTGCAGTAATTAATTTTCATTCAACTTCTGAACGACTAAAAGAGGAATTTGGTGCTAAAACTATTCATCTCCTTATTCCAACGAATACCAGAAGTGATTTTTATCTAAATAATGAGGAAGGGGTCATGTGATTAGTACAACGATGGAAATGGAAAATATAATAATCTGATGACATAAGTGTAATTTGATCCAAAACTGATGAATAAAATTCTAGAAAGTCACGTGAGGCTTATTCAGACATCATTCCAGGATTCTCCGATGTATTATGAAACCTCGAGGTATCTGAATGCGTTGACATAGCATCCATATCAATGTCAAGGTGTGAAAAACGCGTTCAACTAAATTCTACCATCGAAAAATCAACGATGAAATATTAAAAATGGGGAAAAAGTCGAAAAAAAACTAATCGACAGTGCAAAATTGCTAATTACACAGGCCGGTTACTCCTCATGATTAGTAAAATGATGGATCCTCTCAGGAATAAAAATAATGAATTAATCATCATTAAATAAATAGAATGAATGCATGAACCAGTCGATTCTTGAAATGACGCTAATGTTTTTCATTAAATATCCAACAATTTATTATTCATCACTCCCCATCCGCTCGTCTCTCTCAACTTTTTTTCCTCCCATTATTTTATATAAAATAGTTGGTAATAGCATTCAAAAAGAACCTCGATTACAGCAATTATAAATTATTTATTCTTTCGACGATACTGTGTCACTCTGTTATCTTTCAATCCGTCGTCTTAAATTTTTTGTTATCCTTCTATTCATTAATATGTAACAACAAATAAATAGATAAGCATCTGTTAATACTCGTAATTCACTATCAACACTGATGAAACATCATTTTGGATTAAAAAAAAAAGTGTTTCACGTACTTTTCTCACGTTTTTCATTATTTTGTAGAAAAAATGTTTAATTAAACCATAGGTTATCGTCACCGGCCACGTGAAATTTTTTAAATCACGATTAATGAACGAGGGAGAGACTTTAAATCTTCACTTTTAGTCGGAAAAAAAATCTAAAAAAGTATTTCTTCGTCATAAATTATTTTGCATTTTAAAAAATCATTCAACAACTAAATCCCATTTGTTGAAACAATAGGGATGAGAATCGTAATTAGATTGAGAAAGTTTCTCCCCTCGATTTATCAAATAAATCAAAGAAAATGTGAAAAAAATCCCCCGAAAATACGAATCAAATAGTTGTTAAAGAATTTTGATTTTCAACAGTCCGAGAAATAAAAATTAGCGATAAAAATCGTTGAGAAAATTAAAAATCGTGGATGTAGAGATTTGGATTACGTGGTGTTTGAGTGGACGGCCTCAAGGACGCGTTTTCATTATCACGATTGTCTTTGTTAGTATCAATAACGTCTTTATCACGCTCGCGATTGTACATCTCCTCGGATAGTTCTCTTTGTAGGACGTTTCTGACCTCTTGAGGTATATCCTCTTCTTTCACCTCTTGGAGTACATTTTGTAGCTCAGAGTCGCGTATGTAGACCAACATGTATGCATTTGTGCAGTGTTTAACTGCCATTGACATGTCCTCGTCCTGTCCACCGTAGTTATGTTCTATTGCCTCCTGTTTTGTACATCTTGATACCACGTCGTCGTCAAATTTGCACCACTGAGCACACACAAATCATGAGAAATTTATTAATGTGGAGTTGAAGTGATTGTTTAAATGTGAGATTTCACAAATTCTTGGGTTTTCTGGTGCTCTCGCAGTCAATTATTTATTACAATTGTATCAGTTTGTGTTAAGGGTTCATGAGGATACATGAACGAAGTATCAAAATTTTTCATAGGATATTTCGCGTTTTTTGTAGTGACAATTGAATTGTTTATTCACTTTTTTATATTAAATTCTGTTGGTTGACGTGAGAAAGGAAAATCGTGCGAAGGATTCAGGGGATATCCATCACATCTTTCAAGAAATTATTAGGAAAATTATTCATTATAATTCTAGGTTTTGGTTGATGATCCAACAAATTCAACAGCATTAAAGATGTAATGAAAAAAAAAAGACTTCTCTACTAATTTTTTCAATATTAAATGCTCGATATTAAATTTAAATTACAACAGAAATTACTCATATACCATCCTCTATTAGAAAAACAAAACAAACGTTTTTTGCGAACAATCAATGGCACAGTCATTACCCCCCCCATTATAGATGCAAATTATTTTTTACCTTCCCATCCCCAGCAGGATTGATGAAGACAACATAGTGCCCTCCATGGTTATCCCCACTGTGCACAAGCACTGCGTGCAGGGTGTAATTAGTTGGCTCTTCTACCTGGAGATAGGGACCCAAGCTTATCTTCTCGTAAAATTCAAATCTGTAAACAAAATGAAAAAATTTAATCCTTATAATTCAACAAAAAAAAAATTCACTCAATTAAGCCTAGGATGAAACTTAAAGCAAAAACTCGATGGCTACTAAAGGAAACAATGGAACTCAGAAAACATTTCCAAAACCACGTACCTCAAGATTTCGTTCTAAACTCAAGTATCTCACGAGTATTGGCTGAAACTTTGTATCTCAGAGGAGACGAGAGAAGTATCTCAATGAAAATTCAAAAACACGTAACCCAGGAGCTCTGATTAATCTCCGTTTAGTTTCGTTAATAACCTATGAATAAAATTCAGAGCTGCCAATCCTTTGCTCCCAAATTGTTGCAGTTTTTCTTGTTGCTTTAGGAAATCGTTCATGGTTTCTATGAATCAAGCCTATCAATCTTTTAGGGATCAGGATTAGCTGATCCCTAGTTACCCACTCGTACAGAACGCTAATTCCGAAAAACTAATATCAATAATTGGAAAATTTCTCGTAGATATTAATGAATACAGTGGCAAAGAACCAATCAAATCAAATGAACCAGTAGTTTCAAAATGATTCACCAACCCCTGCATTACCCACTACATAAGAAATTAATGTTAAAAGAAATGAGATGACAACAATTTACCAATTACTAAATTGATTGAATAAGAGGTTTGGTTCTCTGACAACTGACAACCGGTATGAAATATTCCTCAAACAAAGTATATGAAAATATCTGCAGTAACTCTATCCGAGTAATTACAATTAGACGGTATTTAATCGGAGTCACTGAGCTAAATTTTTTTGAATTTTCTCAGAAAAGCTTGGTTTCTGTCATCTCCTCTGAGGCACAAAGTTTCAGTCAATATTCTTAAGACACTTGAGTTTGGAAATGTTCTCTGAGTTACGGAGTTCCCTTTAGGAGCCATCGAACTGTGGTCGTCATGGAAGAACTCTATCAAAACACTCACCTGTCATTGAATTTCACGGAACAGTCTGTAACCGGATCGTACTGAAATCTCATGAGATGAAGATGCAGAACAGGCGGGAAAGATTGAAAGATCACTCCCTTCTCAGCCTCCTGAAGTCCATGCTCCCCAGCATCGTACTTATTATCCCCATCAAGTATCTCAGTACTGATATAATCCTTGAATGACTCGTAAATATTCTTCTTCCCCTTGATATTCAACTGTATATCGTAAAATGTCTCGACCCTTGTCGACGTGTATTCCATATTTTTGCACTTTATGAACGATGACATTTTTCCCTCGAACAATTTTGGCACTGTACCCTCAACACAAGTGCCCTTCATTTTGCTCTCAAGTTTGTCAAGTAGTACGCGCAAAAATTCCTGAACATCGTGCTGCATAAATGAGTCAAGGGTTTCCCATCCAAAGCTCTTGGTCAATTTTTTTGTACCAACTGGTTTATCACAAAATTGTAACTCGTGAAATACCCTCTGCAGTGCTAGTGCGACACTCTTGCTTGAGTCGTCACTCTCAGTTGGCATTTTGTAAACTGCTTTGCGCAGTTGATTTGTGAAGTAGAGGGTCTGGAGGAGGGAATTCATGTAGCATGTTGCACCTTGATTCTTCAGGCCTACGAAGCCTGTGTGCTTTTTGCTGTCCCAGCTTACACCGTGTGGAGCATCCGCTGCAACGTGAACCTGGAGAAAAAACCATCATTGTGAAGTGCTAAATCGTATAATGAGAATAAATTAAGGGGGGATTAATATAAGTCTTTAAAGTCGCGAGCAATTGAAGTGAGATTTCTCATGCGTTGAAGATCGATTATATATGAGGTATTCCATGTCAAACGAGTCAACGGCTGACCCTCACCCTCTTGGAAATTGATCTCGATTTTTTCTACGATTAGGGGACTAGAAAAACTATTTCTCAATTTTTTTCAGATTTTTTTCACAGCCCATTTTGGAGATAGGATTTTTTGTTTTTTAATTTTTTTTTCAAAATTTCAGGGCTATTCATCCGACTTTTATTTATGACACGCCAAAATTTTTGATTTTCTAGCCCATTGTTTATGACATTATCTCTTCAAATCAGTCGTTATCAAGTAATTTCCTAGTTCACCCTACAATACCTAGATTTCTGCTTTTTCGAATTATATGTTAATTTCTGATGATTGTTCGCTTATGTAAAAACCAAGTACTTCCATGGGAAGATGTCAAAGAAACGCCTTTCGTTATTTCATCCACAAATCAGTCTTTATCAGAAAATTTTCCGTTTCAGCCCATCAACAACCCAATTTTATTTTTTAGGCTTATATTTTATTTCTTATTAATTGACAATTCATCGTAAAAACAAGTCCTTTGAGAGAAAAATGTTCAAAATTCAACACACTCTTATTGTAGTTGAATAATTTCTCAACAAAAAATACATCCTGGCACTTCCTCTTAGAATAATCGATCAAGATATTTCTATACCATAGCACTGCAGTTTATTCTCTTGGGGATGTTCAAAGTGGTTTTTAGACTCAGGTATTGTCATGCAGGCAATCAATATTGACCATCTCGTTAATGATAATTGTGACCATCGCGTGGTTTCGTCGATGGGTCTTTTCAAATATGTGCGCATCATCCTAATGTACTAGATCCGGAAATTAGCGCCCTAATCCACCGGATTATCTTAATGCATGTTAAGAAGGGAAGAGTATTGATTTTGAAGCCATATAGAACGATACCAATTCATATCTAGCGAGCAATACTGTCCACAGTGTGTAACATCAGACATTTATAGAGCTTTTGTCCAGAATTCGATACATGGATTCCATAGATTGAGACTAGTCAATCATTCCTGAAGTTCAATTTTTCAGGAATATCAAAAAGACTCTCTGTCTCCAACAATTGCATATTTTTTCTTTAAGGTTTTTGCATTAAAATATTTTAGAATTGAGGCGAGAAAACTATTAGAGGAATTAATTCAATTTTACTTGGTTTGAGAAATCGCTTTCTCGTCGTCAAGAAGTTGTCCTCATCTATAGGTCAAGTACGAAATTTCTTGACGAATGTGTTTTTCCTTGGTGCAAGATGTTTTGCTCGTGAAAATTTTCAAGCCACGAGTTTCTTGATATAAGTAAAGACGTACTTCTCAAAACTTTGTTTTTCTCAATGTACTGCATCAATTTTCCACTGCAATAATTTATAATTAATTTACCTCAAGTGTTATCGAATCATCTTTGATGTATCCCTTGTCCGGGTCCAAGACATCCTGCCACAGCATGAAATGACTGAATCCCCAGTCATTTTCCTTGTTATAGAAGAGATGTTGTATTTCTGAAAAAAAAAACATGTTTACAGTTGATATTCTCCCAGTTGCTGATGATAACGATGATGTTTGTGGAGTATTATCCAAGACTTGAATTCAAATAAATCTGTACTCACTTCTGCTGAACGGCTCTTGGCCCTCCTTGCATGACAAAAGACGTAATTCAGCGACAGCATAACAGCTCCATGTTGATGATTCACTCTCACCATTACACTGGAGGAAAAATCCAAGGGATCTCTGGGGCTGCCTCTCTTGGGTTTGACTCGACCGTGGCATTACCATTATTTTCCATGGTAAATTACGTACATAGCACGGGGGTGACAGCTGTGAGTCCTTCATCTTTGATACATTCTCGACGGTATAGCGAAATGTCGCCTCGGATCTCGCCTCATCTGCAATTTAAATTCAATTAAATTTTCCCACCAAATCCAGCCTTTTTTGATTGAAACTGTTTAATTAAGGATGAAAACTGAACATTTTTAGATTTGAGAAAAATTCAGTAGCGAAACGGTAAAACCGTTTGAGTCAATCTTGATTATTGGCCAGTTTTCACGGAATATCTCGGAATCTAAGGGAGATACCTAAATTATTGTCATGACCTTTTTTGTAGCCCTCTATTCGGTCTATAAAAAAGGTTATTATGAAAATTTCGGTAACTCTCTTAGATTTGGAGTTATTCCTGGAAAACTTTTTTAGGAAAGACCGGGACCGAATGAAATGCGAGGCAAAATGAAATAATGTGGAGAACGCATCATTCACACGATTTGGGGGACTTTTTTTGCTCTATTTCACTTCGAAAGTGACAGATTGAGATAGTTTACACTGTTTTTATTCTCATTTGGAGGGAATTCTCTCCCCAGGTTTTCTATCTGCGAACCAAGCGAACCAAGTACTGATTATTCTTTCGATACTGAATATGTTCTCTTCATGTATTTTTTATACGAAAAACCTTGCCAGCATGTGTTCTACTATTATCCAGAATATAACAAACAATTCACAGCGGATATTTACATGAGCACAGCGCATTCGTACATCAATTTGTTTATAATATTTTCTGTTTGATGAACAATAAACGAAATGAGTTGAACATGTTATTAATTGTTTTTTGGACAAGGACATGCGGGGAAAGATTCGATGAGGTCATGAATGGAAAAATTCACAACTGTTTCATTTTATTTTGCCCCGGTCTCCACTACAGTTTTTTCCGAGTGTTAGTTTTCTTTTGCGTTTTTGGTAACCGTATACTTAGTTGAAAATAGAGTATTTTTTTTTATTTTTGCAAATTTTTGTTGATTCTCTTCTCCGTGTGGATAAACATTCCTAATCATATGAATTTCCGTTAGTTCACATTAAACTGACTTTCACGATTCTCAGTCAAGTAAAATCTATGGCATTTTGTAATTGAAAAAATTCCAAAAAGTTTTCTACTTCATTTCACCAAAAGAATGCTCAATTATTCAGAACAGTAACGCAGAATGTATTAAAAAATCAAAATTCTGGGTATTCCATGCTGTTAACGCGTCACTCTGGAATCCATCTATTATTAGAATATTCGCTGAAGCTTTCGCAAACACCAGAAAAATGTGCGAGTTGTTCATAATCTCAATTTCCTCTTTAAAAAAATTACCCTCGTTCATCTCGTGATCCAGACTGACGCAGCCGGGCATGTCTTCGTTCATGCCTGCAAGCTCGAACTCCAATTCACCATTTATAGGTGGTAGTTCACCCCTGCCATCGCCTCGACCGTCATTCGGCGCCTCTGAAATATCAATTTCAAATCTCATTAGCCGAATTGTCCAATCATGTCCACAGGCCTCACAAAAAAAAAACAAAATATCAAACATATTCATAAAAATAAAATCATCGGAGCATTTTTCGATAGGTTATGTGCCCGATGGATGTGCTGATAAAAAAATTAAAAAGTCGATAATTTCATTACCATTTGGATGAAACAACATCGAGCTCATCATCGCACAGAGGGAGTACAATTTTCTGTAATTACTGACTCCTTTCATTGTCCCCAGAAACCAATATTAATCGTTTTTATGTTCTCAACTGAATTGAGTCAACTTTGCACCTTCATATCCCCCCAAATCAGCAGCTAATCTTGATAAAACGTTGACAGTACAATAAAAGAAGAAGGAAAGTGGAGCAGTGACGATTACCCACCGAGAAACTTGGGAAAGACCTTCGAAAAATTGTTGAAACTTTATTGAAAATAACTTTGTGTCTCCTTCCGAGGTCCTCTGATACGGATTAAATTAATTGAATCCACAGAACAGTCGGTTAAACAAGTTTACTGTTTCATTGGAATTACCAGAAAGAGACCTGAAACTTCCAATCCAATTTTGACGGTTTCAAGTATTTTTTTTTAGGCGAGTAAGATCGAATTGACGGTCTTAGCTTTTCGCATTCAAATGGAAGTATTGTATTTCGTCAAATTCGAAATTTCCAATTTTTAGTATCAGGAAAACTAATTTTAGTTCTAATTCATTCACTGAGGGAATTGATAAAAAAAAATTAGCACCAATTATTTATAATGAATGCCATATGTTTGTTAGGTCGATAATCGAGAATTAACAGGGGAGATTTACATGAGACAATGTTCATAACAAATCTTCTGTTCAACCCCTCCCCGTTAAACCCTTCCTTGCTTGACCTTTCCCCGTTTTAGCCCTCATTTGAATTTTCAGTTACATAAAGTACTGATTCATTTGTTCAAACACACGGAAAATGCGATCCAGACGGAGTAGTGGTCTGACAGATCGTGGGGTGCGGTAAACGTGCGTTTTCGGAGCGGTTCGGTGTAAAGGTTAAATTGAATTCAATGGTTTATTGCCAGCTAACACTACCCCAACGTTAAATTTTTTACCTTTCTCTGAATATTGGTTTCAAAATAAATTTTTTCAACAACAGATGAGGCGATCAATCTCATGAGCAAACTCGATCAAGACGGCGTTGGGAAGAATACTTTAGATCACAATTTAATTCATTTAAACAATTATGGTTTCACTTATCGTCGAAAAACGATCGATCACACCAGCGGTCACCTGGTGGTTGTACCGCTTACCTAAGGAAATAGTATTTTTCCGGCCTGTTGCGATGGGGTTTTTTACTCGTGTGGCGTTGGCCTCCGAGCCGTAGGCGAGGACTGGCCAACCACAAAAAAACCCCATCGCAACAGCCCAGGAACAATATTTTTCTGTAGTGATTTTCAAGTTTTCGAGTTTGGGAAGTATGTAATACCAATTTCCAGGCGAGAAATCGTGAGAAGCAGTACAGAAAAGACCCGTGAGTTTTCTCATTTTCTGTACTGTACTGAGAATGTTTTTTTGGGCTCAAACGAAAGAGCGGGTCGAGAAATGACGTGCTAGAGCCTCTAAACATGACAAATGTCTCTAAAGATGATATCTGTTTTCAATTGAAAAGCAGAGTTGTGACATCATTGTCTAGGAGGACAATGGGGTCTAGGAGTATGTATAGAACATTGGGGTCTAGGAGTCTCCCCTGGTTCAAAACCATCTTTAGAGGCCCTAGCACGCCATTTCTCGACCCGCTCTTTCATTTGAGCCCAAAAAAACATTCATATCTTGTCTGACATCGCTGCTACAAACTCGGGTCTACAACTCGGGCCTTCAATTGAAAGCCCGAGTTGAAGACCCGAGTTTGTAGCAAAGATGTCAGACAAGATATGAATGTTTTTTTGAGCTCAAACGAAAGAGCGGGTCGAGAAATGGCGTGCTAGGACCTCTAAAGATGGTTTTGAACCAGGGGAGACTCCTAGACCCCAATGTTCTATACATACTCCTAGACCCCATTGTCCTCCTAGACAATGATGTCACAACTCTGCTTTTCAATTGAAAACAGATATCATCTTTAGAGACATTTGTCATGTTTAGAGGCTCTAGCACGTCATTTCTCGACCCGCTCTTTCATTTGAGCCCAAAAAAACATTCATATCTTGTCTGACATCTCTGCTACAAACTCTGGTCATCAACTCTGGTTTTCAGTTGAAATTGGAATTGTTAATTTACACAATAATAGGAGTACATTGACGATTTTTTCTTAACTCGCAAAAACTTCAAACAATTTGCTACCGACTGGTGATAAATTTTTTTGGAAATAATGAAATAGGGAGGATAACGCCTTTTCTTTCAGGGGTGATTTTTCAAAAATTTATTTTAAAAAAAGTACTAACTAGCAAATGTTTTTTATTAGCTCGCAATTTTCTTCAAAACTACTTCAATGAGGAAAAAAATAAAAATTTGGAATATCTATACATGAGGGGCTAATTGATCGGATNCAAAACTACTTCAATGAGGAAAAAAATAAAAATTTGGAATATCTATACATGAGGGGCTAATTGATAGGATCTGGTCACCGGCTACTCTAAACAATCAAGCTGTTACTCGACCGCCCTCTGGCTGCAGAGTCTAGCAGCCCTATAGAAACCCTGGGCGGCATTACTCACAAACTCTGGGCGGAATTACCCATAAACGCGGAGACTGATAAAATAGCCAATAATAACTGATGAAGATATTTTTCTGCTATCGAATGGATCCCAATGGANTAAACGCGGAGAGTGATAAAATAGCCAATAATAACTGATGAAGATATTTTTCTGCTATCGAATGGATCCCAATGGATGTGAAAATGTATAACGAACATATATTTCGCACTCCATTCAATTATAAAACAACTGAAAATTTTAAAAATCTCAAATTCTGGAGTCGAAATATTTTAATAATTCAGCAAGAAATGATTTGGATTTTTTGAACGATGTTTCCACAGAAAAAAATTGAAAATTTCTGTTGAAATTACTTGTTGTTATCAAATATTTGCATAATAAAAAAATTTAAAAAAATTCTCAGCCAATCCTGAGAATTGGGGGGGGGGGNGGGGGGGGGTATTACCCATTGGGCGGTACAGAAAATTTCGAATTGGACGAATACAATATTTCCATTTGAAAGCAAAAAATTCGATTAATTTCGATCCACTCTCTCTCTCTCTTTCCTTTACTTTGTTGTGCTAAAATATCGAAAAACCTGGCATGAAGACCCATAGATTCAATTTCGACAAAGGGAGGAAGGACAAAGCATTAGACCACTATGTTCAGCATTCAAAATGCCTGGAGGGGTGATGGAGAATCTGGAGTGGACATCTTCACAATTCCCCCATTACGGATACAGGGGCGAGTGAGGGAAAATGGACAGGCATTTTTTTTAAATTCAATGACTTATAAAACTCTTAATCAAATGATGAACGAATATCGCCCTTCACAAATAATTCATTGAATTTCTTATTATTAAAAAAAGTTAAGTGTTCATTTTACTCCAGTCTCTCTCCCTCATGTGGTTGTGCTGAAATATTGGAAGACCTGACACGAAGACTCCGATAATTTAATTCAACCAAAAAAGGGAAATTCCAGGAAACACCAAAATGTTCATTATCAGAATACTCTGATGACAAAAATTCTCGTGAATTTTTACTCCAGTTTCGCTCCCTTATTTTGTTGTACTGAAATATGAGAAGATCTGACATGAAGACTCCATTAATTCAATTTAGCAAAGAAAGAGAGAGCCCAGCAAACACCAATATGTTCATCATTAAGAATCTCCCTGGGATCTGTATCTCAACTTTCCACCTAATAGGAAACGAACCTATTAATTCAATTCAGCCAAGTAAGGGAAACCTCAGCAAACACCAATATGTCCGCCATTATAGAATGCTTTGAAGGAAAAAAATTCCCATTTTCAGAAGCAATTAATTGCATTTTTTCATTACCAACAAAAAGTCAATTTTACTCTAGTTTCTTTCCCTCATTTCGTTATGCTGAAATATCCAAGCAATTGACATGAAGACTCCATTAATTAAATTTCGCCAACAAAGAGAGCCCCCAGCGACCACCAATATGTTTGTCATTAGAAATCTCTCCCAAATCTGCATTCCCAACTTCCTACTTGGCATAAAGACTCAACTAAAAATCGAGACTTCACAAAACACCAGTATGTTCATCATTAGAGTACTCCCCTGAAAAAAATTTCGTCTTCACAAACAACTCAATGAATTTTTCATTCAAAAAAAAAGTCAATTTTTACTTCAATGTCTCTCCAATTTTGTTATGCTGAAACATCAGAACATTTGGCATGAAGACTCCATTAATTAAATCTTGCCAACAAAGAGAGCCCCCAGCGACCACCAATATGTTTGTCATTACAAATCTCTCAAATCCCCATTCCTGACTTCCCACCTGGCTCCATTACCACTCACAGCAGCTCCATTAAAAATCGAGACATTAGCAAACACCAATGTGTTCATCATTAGACAACTCCCATAAAAAAATTCTCAACTTCACAAGTACCTCACTGAATGCTTGAAAAAAAATTAAATTCTGCCTCAGTGCCTCTGCTCCATTTCGTTGTGCTGAGCCACCAAAACACCTGACAAGACTCCATTAATCCGATTTCGCCAACAAAGGGCGACAGCAGCAACCAATATGTTCGTCATTAGAAATCTCCCCCAAACATCAACTCCAAACTTCCCACTGACGAATCCGCAAGAATCTGCGTTTCGACGTCCTAAAGCATCGCTCATCCAAATAGTCATGCCCAAGGTCTTTGTCCCACCCGCCAAAATAACCTCAAATATCCCCGCAAGCATTCGCGACTCCCCCCCCCCTTCCGCGCCCCCACGACATAAAACACCAATTACTCACCCTCTTGGGTGTCCATCTCCTCAAATTCGTTGACCTGCACAGGTGTTAAATTGAGCTGCTTCAGGTTATCCTGTTCATTAACGTGGTTCATTGCGACACCAATGTTGATGGTCGTCTTGTCTGTGCTTTGTACCTCGCGGACGACACGCGCCGTCGAGGTTACTTCCGTATTAATCTGATGATTTTTCGGTGTATCAGTCGCCGTTAACAACGGCGATATGCCCCTCTCACAATCTCCACCGATAATCCCCGAGCAATCGTTGCAATCCGCCGATTTTTTATCAATTTTATCAAAATTTTTCCGATCAAAATTTGTCAAACGTTCCTCAGGTATGTTACCCTCGTTCAATGTATCACTTGTACTTATGCGGCGTACCGTCGGCGACGTTGCTTTACCGCACGACGACGTCTGATACTTGCTTGCGATTCGCCCAATTTCTGCGGCCGTTTTATGCCCGTTCTCGAGGCCACTCGGGAACGGAGAAATCTTTTCTTCTTTTTTTTTTATTTTCTTTTCCCTTCAATATTTTTTGTTTCTCCACGAGTTGTTTTTCCCAACGAATTATTCACTAGTCTATTCCTCCCGTTGTCGCCTCCCTGCTCGGTTATTTTGTTTTTATTGGGAGATATTGTACACAGCAGGAACACTTCCCCGCCCCCCCTACCGTTTTCAGGCACAAATTGTCGTCTTTCCGACGATTCCACCGGATAATTATTTACTTGCCACGACGATGTTGAGGGAAAAAATTGTCTCTCCCTTTATTTCCACTCCGACGGCACTTTTTATGCTCCAACTGGGGGTTTCGGTGTTGCGGGCTTGTGTGTGTATGCCAACAAGAAATGTCGTGCTTGGCGCTTCCGCGGAACACCGAGAGGGGGAGACCGAACGGTTAGAGAGAGACCGGATTGCAACCCCCGGGTTGTTTTTATGGTGTGGGTGAAGGAAAATTATGATTTATTCGGGGGGAACACCGGCGCTACTGAGTGATGCGACACACGATGATTTCCGGACACTTTTTTTCAAGATTTTCTCGTTCAACTGGGCTGGCGGAAGTGGCGAGGGGTCGGCGGCTTGATTTCTCCCGATGTTTTTATGATTCTGGGTCTCGTTTTCGAGGCGAGTCTTTGTCTTTCATCGATTTACTCCCGAGGGGTTTTGTTTATTTTTATTTCTGGGTTTATGGGGACTATTAGCAGAGGTTTCGCGGTGGAAAATGCCACGCCTGGGTTTAGTTGAGCTCGATATTATTACGGTGTTTTTTTTTTCGGTGGACAGGTGACCCCGAGTGTCTCAGTGCAGTCTCTCGGGATTAGATTCACTAACACAGTTATTCGTGGTACTAGTTGGCCTGTTTCGGCTGTTTTCTTTGAAAAATTTATCGACGTTGTTGGGCGCCTTTATATTTTACCTCTGAAACAGACGGAAAATAAACAAAATGGCGACGATTTTAATCGCCCTCCGTCTACACGATTTTGCCCCCGGACAAGCACTCTTTAATACGGGTTTTCCGTCTCTGTTGAACCCACTTGGTCTCTTTTTGCACGGTTGCAATTTATTTTGAGGAGACGGAACGAGGTGGACAGTAGATGGGCAGTGTCGTGGGTCAGGAATTTCTGGGAATATCGGGGGTCTAGGTGGGAACTGTATGGTCTATGATTCGCGGGCTCGCGTTATCAACTGGGGTAGGCAGGGATCTTCGTTATGCGCTGAGGGATTTTTTTGTCAATTTTGTTGTTCGTCTCCATGTTTGTGAAATTTTCAATTGGGACCTCATTGCGATCTCAGTTGGTCAATGTCATTATTTATTAATCTCTGTTGAATTCGTCGCGTCATCATTTTTTGCCTTCACATTAACCTGTTTCATTCAGCATTCTTTAATGACAAAATGATTCAACTGCTTTGGTAGCTTTTTTTAACGCTTCAGAACAAAATGGTTCTTTTCATCACGGTGTGACGAAAAGTGAAATTTTCGGCACATTGTGATGAAAAATATTGTTCGTAACTCGTGAAAAAATGTTTTTTAGCTCGTGAGATTATATCACTCGCCTTCGGCTCGTGATATAAACCTCCCACTCCCCAAAAAACACTTTTTTGCACTCGTTACGAAATATACTATTTCAGGGACAACTGAACTTTTCCAGGGCTCCAAATAATAAAGAGGAAAATCCAATAAAGCTCAATAGATAATGAGATTGACTTTCTCACAATGGAGATAATTTGTGACTTTGGTCTTTTGCAATGTTTGACCCTCGTGAAATTTACTCTTTATGAGGTATGGGGCTCATGTTTTTGAGTTTCTTAAATTGTTTTATCGCCGTGTGGCATACAATATTTTATGTCTCTGTGCCCGGAAGCCGCGATTTAATTAAAAAATAATTATTTTATAAATTTAATAAATAATGCCCTAAAATTTAAACTACCCAACAATTAATTTAAATTTTTATAATTAACAAAATATCAAAATAATATCAATTAAATTTATTAATTAACCCATCAATTAATCAAAGCGAGGAAATCGATGTTAGAATCGCGGTTTTATGGACTTGGGGACATAAAATAATTTTTTATGCCTCAAATACCGAGAACTGCGTTCAAATACCGAACAAAGTGAAGTTAAAATTCGCGGTTTATCTGTTCTCGGGACATAATATACTATTTCGGACTTTTCGGATCATATTGAGTCGATATAACGCAAAAAATCCGGAACTTAAATTGGAACGATCACAAAGCTTTCATGCACGCTTCCATTCGGAGGCAAAAGTAAGACTTCTGTCTGTTCTGTAATCGATGATTAGTCTCTCCTTGAAGATGTTCAATCTTGTCCCACTCCTCCCAAAATAATTTGATAATTTGATAATGGAGTCTCTTTATTTCAGTAGAAACATTCTACATTTCATCCTATTGAAAAGTTTGTGCAGTACCGATTCAAATTCCTGAAATATAAACATTCTATTTTACCACTGTGCTTGGTGTATTGACGAGATAAATTATTGTTTCATATTTGGCTACTTTTAGGACCTTCGACGAAATTTCAAACTCCCACAATTTTCCTCCATTATTTCATGTGCTATACATCAAATGTTACGTATCACAGTAGACAACAGTGCATTCATTTTAAAAAAATGAATAGAGTACCAATAAGTCAGAGATATAGTCTCGTACTTGATGTACATTTAGCACTTTTTGCGAGTCTTTTCTGGTATTTCAGTTATGCGATAATAATTTCCATGTAATATTTTTTTCTTCAATCAAACGATTAAGATATCAACAATTTTGAATCTATAGATTAAATACATTGGCATCAATCAGAAACATTTCATAGCGACAATTTCTCAAGTCTTTGCCATTTTCCGGTAAGGCATGTAATAAGGCAGATCCCCTTACGTCGCCTCGATATTAGCCTATTATTTATATCCATTTTTTCGGTTTTCCCTTTGGAAAACTGTCCAAAACATTTTTCAATATTTAATTTGATAAGAGAGTGGTGAAACTGGATAAATTAACTCATGTTTACCGTCAATTTCGTCACTTAATATCTTGAGATTGAAAGGAGATGGTGTAATTTTTATGCAGAACTTGAGACGAGATGGTCGTTAACTGAATTTAACGTGAGGTTTTTTGAACCTCACTTTAATGTATAATATGAGAAAAAATGGTAACATTAACTCAATGCATCTTCTTCAGACTTCATTAACATAATTATGTACGACCACGTGAAAAACGCCCATTTTATCGATTTGGTGGTCGGAGTTTTTCTCCGCATGGAAAAATTCCCGGAAATTGTTTCCCCGTCAATTTTTCTCTTTTTTTTCAAGGAATAAAGAAAAGGAGTCCAGAAACGCTCTTGGAATCTTGTTGATGATTGGTATATTCAATCTGGATATTTGTATCGGACAGAATGATTTGAAAAAAAACGGGAATTTGGTTCCGATTAAACTAAAAAGCTATCTCCAACTAGAATAGGGAACTTGAATTATTTTCAATTTTCTAATCTCAAGTTTCCGACCTGAATAATTCATTTTTCAGTCACAAACGTTTGAAATATTGCTCATTAATTAATAATTAATTGTTAAAAGTTGAAGATTTCAAACGCTTTGAAATCGTTAATGACATCACACAGACGGTCGAGTGCTGGACCAATCACAGAATGGCTCGGGCCGACCTAGCCCAATCTTGAGGTGCCCCTCGGCCAATGGAGAACGACAACTCCCCACTCTCTTTTTTTTTCGACCAATAATGCGTTACCTGACCGTCTTCTAGACATGTAGGCAATATTTCTCCATAATTTTCGCCGTTTAGCTATCCATATGTTATGAAGAATGTCTGAATAGGGGAACTAGAAAGAAGTGAGCTTCATGCAAGTTCCCTATTGACTTATCCTGCTTCACCACTCTGTTACTCAATGCATATCCAAATTTTTCGGATTCATTATCAGCTATAGAAAAGCAGCTCACCTGGAAATATCGAGAATCCTTTAGAATATTCTCATCTGTGAATTCGACGAGATTTTGATTATATTTATCGTTAAATAGTATTCGGTAACACAGAGAATTACTGAGTTGAATGAGGACAGTCCCTTTAATAAACATGTGCTTACGTTACTCTGCAAAATAATCATAAATTATCTCTGTGAAATTCATTTATATTCCATGTATTGTATATTGTACATCAATATTTTCTCTATTTCATTGACTCCCATCCATTTAGGAATAGTTTTAGGAACTTGTCGCACTGCGACTTCAGTAACCGATAAATCAATTTTTATGAAGAATAATAGAATATAATTGTAATGATCTAAAGACCCTTGTGCAGAAATAAAACGATAAATATTTGAGTTTATTGCCACCACATGTATGAAAAATTCCTTCAGAATTCAGAACATGCCTGTAGGAATTGCCCAAATTTTTTAGAAATTTAGATTTTCTATAGAAGAAATTTCCTTAAGAATTTATCGCAGAGAATAGGGTGAACAGGCCAATTGCTGGACGGTTAAGGAATATAATGACTTCCACACCTTCAAGAATGTTTTAATTAGAAAATAACAAAACAAAGAATAATTGAATTAAAAAATACTTGAATTCAGCCGAGACCCCTAATTTCTGGACAGCTCGGCCATCTTTTTTTTTATTTATTAAATGTCGATCAATAGAAAAAATAATTGATCACATGATTGTACACGAGTAATATTATTGAAAGGTGCATACAATTTTCATTTTATTTATGGAATATTCAATGCAAGTGGGAATCGTCCAGAAACTAACCGCTAGAAATTGACCTGTTCACCCTACTTTTTTTTGTAAGCACCTTTTCTTTATATAATCCTTCGTGTTGGAAGAATCCTGTAAGGAATTTTTGAATTTTGCATTGGACCATTCCACGGGATCCTCATAACATGATCCCATGAAAATTTTTATCTATGCAGGTGCCACAAGTAAACGCACAAACTTACAAATTTTCAATTTACCAAAATCATCTGAATTAAATCTTAGCAATTAAGAGGCTAGTCACTTAGAACCATTAAGTTACAGCTTAGAGAGTGCAAAATACTGTTGGACGTGTTTTTTCATTTTTCTTCAAGGTATCATTAATAACGATTACTCATTAAGACAGAGTAGGTCCATAGAATAATCTCACGTCGTAAAAATCACAAAATCAAGTTATTCAGAAACAAATTCTGGAGAACTGTAATTTTCATTATCAAATTCTTATTGTCCCGAATTTTTAAGTGTTGAAGATACCCCGTATTATATTCTGATTACAGTAGGTCCTAGTAATGAATTGTTCCATCTAATAAAATCTATTAAAAAATCCAAAGCTCTTCACTCGAATTACTCTATAAAAAATCGAGAAGTATTAATAAAATGAATATTCATCTGTAAAGCTTTGATATTCACACAATAAATGTGAATTATTTTCTCGACTAGATCAATTGAAGCCCAGCATTCCTTCCATTAGATTAATTACTACTCTCATTCTTGCCACATAAAGCACGTTGAGGTAAAAAGTGAGAAAAACATTTTCAAAAATTCAGTGAATTGGAATTTTGGATGAAATTATGGGCTACATATTTTTTTATTCTCTTGACAATAAGCGATTTAGAAGCTGTAGCTATCCGTTTTGTGTTCTTCATTAATAACTCATCCCATATGAAAAATTTTATAGACAATATTTTACTTAAAGAATCAATAGATTTTAATTGAAATGATTTCCATTAAAATTTCCTTTCTCAAAGTTTTCTGACTAGAAAAAAAATTGCAGTGGCAAAAAAGTAGAGAATTTGAATCGATAATGTTTTTCAATTCAATATTTCTTAATGGAATTTTAACAAATAGAAATTTCAATAGAAATCTAATAGCATTTTCTAGCGAATTCACTAGGTTTTTCTGTTAAATTTTTTTGTCCGCAGAACTTTCCAAGTTTTTTTGTTTGATTTTCTTGATAAAAAGAAATGAAAAAGAACGAAAAAACTTCAAAAAATTGAGTCAATAAAATTCTATAGAATATATCTCAATCAAATAAGTTTTCTAGAAAAATCGAGTTATATTGACTTTTTCTATAGAATATTATCTATTGATCATTTCAAAAGACTTGTCTACCGAATTCGCTTGGTTTTTCTATAAAATTGTTTCGTGCGTGTAGTCATCTTCAATGAAAAAAAAAAATTATGCAAGACCCCAATTTCTGTGCAGCTCTGGCATGAATAATTGAAAAAAATTTTCTCGTGGAATTGATGGCAAAATGATTTATTACTGTAGTGCGCAGACTTTTGATGAACTGTACGAGTCGCCCATGGCAATTGCACGTCGTTTAATTCCCTCGAGGTAGACGTCTCGATTGAATAGTCCAGCAGCCAGTGGTATTCTGTGAGAAAACACGGCAAATGAAAAATGAGTGCCCCTAGCCATAAACCAAACGGTTTAACTCCCCATCAAGAATATTTATGAAGAGATAATGAAGGGATTAAACTCACGTATCGATTCCAGGCCTCACAGTTGTCTTGAATACCCCCCAAACTGGTTTATGATCGGACGTGCAAATACTAGGCACCGAGTCATACACCAGACACTCGATATTGCCATCTTTATGGGAGTTTGAAGTATCATGACTCACTCGTCTCATGTAGCCACGAGTGTGTCCCTTTCCCTTGAATAAAATACGATCTGTGTATGCTGGTGCACGTTGCTTGGAGCTTGAGTCGAATGTCTGTGTACCAGGATCGTATTTGTAGGTCGGTGGAAATGTTATTGGTGCCTCCTCAAAGCCACGTAATACTGCGCCCTCGTTTAATGTCATACGTAGTTGATCTTTGCCGAGATTTACAGGGGTCGTTTGGGGAAAACATGCGTCTGACACCCACTGGATTACCTCCTCACGGGGCTGAGCCAGACGGAAATTCAAGTCTCCACACCAGAAGACACAATCAAAATTCTGTGTCACATCTGCAATTGTTTGGAGGGAATAAATGAGATTGATAATGGAGAATTAGAGTTTTGATTTTCAGGGACGCGACACTGATTTTCTGGGATCCGTCCCTGATTTTTGGGGAATCTATCTCCCGAATTTTTAGGGATTCGCCATTGGGAAATTCGACGCGTGCAAAATTCTGGAATTCAGCGATTTTGTCACTTATTTTTAGTGACACTAGAACAGGCCGCGCGTATTGTTTTCCATGGGTGCCAGAATAGCAAAACCTTACCGTTTCTCACTTTCATTAATTGTTATCTCAATAATAATGCAGGAATAATGAATGGTTTCAACGAAGTTTTTCACAATGAGAACTGAATTAATTAGAGAAATTGAAGAGAAATGAATTAATCCTCTTCATCTTCTTCATTTCTCTCTTGCTTTTTGCGCGATAATCTATAGCTTAAAGCCGATTGAGGACCCTAAATTACGTAATAGTAAAAATACCACTGAAATCCATTCAATCGTTTTCGCTTGAATCGTGGTCAAAGAATGGCCAACAGATTTATTATATTTGAAATTCATCTAGCCTCTTCGACATTTTTTACTAAAAAAATGCAACTTTATCATTAAAAAATTGAAGAAAAAACTGGTTTCACGTATTTTCCATAACCAGTCCCATCACAATGAATGACATACTCGTCTCACCTTTACTCTTGCTATGCTTGGTCGGTAATTCCTTCGGCAAATCGAGATTCCTGACGATCTTCTTGATGTCGTGCACCCTCTCCTTGACCTTGTCCTGATGTGCCGTAAGATGAGCAGTAACGAATAGGAAACTAGTGCCAAAGATAATGAGTGCGAGTGCCACTGCTCCCTTGGTCCTGAAGGCGGTGCCAGGTCTAGTAGAGAAGCTGTCCTCCTCGGGTACTGAGCAGAACCACACGAGGTCCCTGCGTAAAAACAGGGCTAGATGGAGTGTGCCAAGGCTTGTGCTGGTCAACAGCACGTGGGATGGCCCCAGTGTCTCTTGAAGTGCTGCCTCCCATTCTGATCGCTCCGAGCAGGACTCTTGAGTTCCAATCGCCAGGATGTCGGGGATCGTTTGGATCTCGGAGGGCAACATGAAGTCATTCAATTCTTTCGGGGGACTTTGGCCATTCATGTTCCATGTGCCCACGAAAATCTTGATTTCACGATTTGGCAGGACCTTCTCGAGCTCCCGGGGACCCAGGAGAGAGTTCGCGGCGATTCGACCGTGTAAGAAATTCCTTTAATGATTTTTAATATTTTTAATTGACTTGAAGGGATTATTCGACCGAGTTTTGGAGATAATTCAGGAGATGGTAGACATTGCGGTCACCTGAATGAGTAAAAAACTTTTACTTTCGCGTAAAAAATTTCGATCCTCATGCAAACCTTTATGATACAATGATCAAGCTGAAACTAACAAAATAATCACGGCAGAGATAGCCGTATTCATAAATTATAATTACTGTTGAATTATTAAGCTAAATTTAGCGAAGCGAGCAGTGAGCGAAGTCCCCTAGTTTCCCATTGTTATTCAAAAACGCTCTTTGACAATGTTCAACTTTTTTTTTTTTTTTTTTTTTTTTTCTTTTAATTGTACAATCACAATTTTTGGAGCCCGGTGGCTCGGCGCAGTGGGTAAGTTCGTTGCCTTACATGCGAAAGGTTCCAGGTTCAAATCCCGGCCGGGTAGAATGGTGCGATCTAACCATTTAAAGTCTTGATCATCATCGCAGTATACTCTAACCGGGTCGAAGCGATGTAAAATAACGATTAAAAAAAAAATAGTTTTTGGAAACTCTAGGGCTATGCAAAACTGAATAGCAATTGGAGATCATTTCAAATTATTAAAATAAAAAAAACAATCAAGATCACGTTCGAAAGAAAATCCACCCGGACCCTAAAGTGATAAAAACTCATTCGAAGAAGATTATCCATTACTAAATTAGTGGATAATATCGTTGGATTTAACGTGTTCCTGGTCTGAGATAGCATTGGACAATGAACAGTATTGTAATTTTGTATGTATGCTATTGAAATTAACTGGAGATAATTACCTTTCCCGAGCTTTCTGGGCGGGAATTAAATTGAGAACTTGTGCAGCTAGTAACGCCTGCTTGGCCAGACTGTCCATTGATGCAGCTCCTTCATGATGTAAAAGACGATCTTTCTTCCTGGCAATTGCATCGTGAGACGTTGATCTCGGTTTTAATCGTATCGGTACACTCTTCACTGACTCGGGACTGGAATGTTCTAACGAAGTTGACGGTGAATTTACGACGATATTATCTACTGATCTTCTGTGCAACAACTTGTGCTTCATCTGCATGGAAATGTTGGGGGAGGCTGAATCCGAGGACGACTGTTCTCCTGGACATAACGAGAGAGATAAGAAATTAATGACAAACCATTCGTCAAAAATTTTATGTGTTATTGCAATGAATGGCAGTAAGTTGATATTCGTGTACTCTTGCGGGGAAGGGGTAGACAAATGAAACACTCAATTAGTGAATTAATTTTCCGCAGCCTTCGCGCAGGAATGATGGAAATAATCGTGTGACATAACACCAGTTGTTAAAGCACTTGATTCCAATTGACCGGGTTATGGTAATTCATGAGTAAAAATATCCTTGAGAGTTCGGAAATCAAGATTTCAGAAGTCACCGCAGTAGTGAAGTTCCTAATGTAACGGAACAAGACGACAATGGACGTTTTGTTGAATGTTGTAAGGATTATCGCAATAACCTGTGATTTTAGAGAAAAATTAACAGTCCCAGCGAGCTCCAGAAGACATGTTTCAATATTTATTTTCGAAAGTCAGCAAATATTTCGGGTGTAAATTAACTTCATCTCCAACCAAAATTTGACTCGGCATTGAATTCAATCACTTAACTCGATAATTCAGTAGCGAAGCGGTAAACCGGGTTAAGTCGAGTTCGACTTTTGGCCAGTTTTTGATGAATATCTCGGAATCTGAGACAGATAGCAAAATTTTTCTCATGACCTTTTTTATAAACCTTAATTGGATCTACAGAAAAGGTCATAGTGAAAATTTTTCTATCTCTTTTAGATTCCGAGATATTTGTCAAAAACTGGCCAATAGTCCAAATCGACTTGACCCAGTTTGCGCTTCGCTACTGAATTGTCAATTTCTTGAAAATATGAGGTGAGAGTTTTGTTATAAATTGAACCAGCAACGAGAAAAGTGTTCTGGTGGCTTCTAGTAGAGTCCCTTTTCTCGGAGTTAAGGTAGAAAATACGTATTTCTTAAGATTGTCCGCATGTTTTTCATGGATAATGTTTATAATAGTCTCCAGTTATTAAAAAATGCTAACTACTGCATTATGCTGTACTACATTATCTCTTTAGGAGATAATAAATAATGAAATGCGAGCTTCCAACACACGAGGCATAGGCCAAACGGAATTATGGATCCTCCCGAACTCGATTTTTCCATCTTATGAGAAATAGTATATTTCAGGACGACTGCCATGGAGTTTTTTACTCGCGTGGTGTTGGCATTCGAGCCAAATGCGAGGACTGTCCAACAACGCGAATAAAAAAACTCCAGCAGGCGAAAAAGGGGAGCTTACAAACCCGTAAGGGTAGTAGGAAAGAAATGAATAAATAAAACATTTCGTGGATAAAGATGAAAAATGATCGCGATTTTCATTTCAAAATGCACATCAGGCTAATACGACATGAATTGAAATAAAAATTGCTGAAGGAAAAATGAAGTTGGATCTATCCTATTCTAATATAGATGAAAAGAGACTGTTGTATTCTTTTGACAAATTGTGACAGTCATAGAGGGGGGAGAGGGGAATCGTGACATCCATCATAAATGCCTCGATGTGAACGTCATATGACGGGTCATGTGGCGCATTTGCATCTCTAGGCCTGAAGCTAGGCTGTATCCGACGACCTTCGAATTTATCATTAACGGGAATATTTCATCATTAAAAATACTGCCAATGCAATTGAAATTTCATCAAATAACATCAATGAGGCTGATTAACGAATTAATTGTTCATCACTTTGATGGACTGCACACGATTTCTTGGTCTCATACTTGGATAATTCCGTATAAATAATTGCGAAATGATGAAGAATTATTGAAACTTCCGTAAAAAGGTACTTTATAGTTCAAGCCAACACAGGAAGCTGAAACAAGCGAAAGATTCGACACAAGAAGATTTGTCGTAGGCGAAGCTAAGGATGTACAAATGTTTATAAGTAATGTACAAACTCTTTCGCACTTAAAAACCATTTGTACATATGATCATTTGACTCTCTTACACTTAAATATCTCCTGCATTGAATTTTCTGCTGACGAATATTCTGCTAAATTCAGCTTCGTAGCCAAAATTTTGCGTCCTGAGGTTTGAACAACATTCCGAAGAAAAAAGTGCAAATACAGTGAATTTTTTCTACCAACAATCAATTAGAAAATTGATAAAATTTAATAATTTCCAATAAGATTAAACCCTTCAAGAATACAGTGCATTTCCAATTGAATTTAATCCTCAAAATTAAAATATCAATCGAAGCATTTGCAACGAAGAAAGCCTGAAAGTTCACGAAGACCTGAACCCTAAAAAATTTCCATCAAAAAAACGTCAAACATAACTTTTCCTATTATCATAACAACCTAGAGAATCCTTCAAAGATACCAAAGTCAAGAATAGACAATAACGAATGCAGCGGGTCTCCATCAAAGAATTCGTGCCTTTAGTTTCATACTATTATCAAGTGTTGCAATGAAGTCACACCAAGGTCACTGCATCGATCAATTGTACATGTACGTATCTTTATTTAGCCCGCAGTTGCTGCCCATCACACCTTCATCATTGTTAAGAAGCATTAAATCAACCACATTTTCGCATTCCTTGCAGCGAAGTGGTACAACGGTACAAGTCAATTTTGACTATTGACCAGTTTTCAACGAATATCTCGAAATCTAAGGGAGATAGCAAAATATTTTTTGAACCTTTTTTGTAGAGCCGATTGGGAGCTGCAACAAATGTAATTACGAAAATTTCGCTATCTCGCTTAGATTCGGAAATATTCCTCAAAAACTCAACTGGAAGATGGGTCGATTTGAACCGTTTTCCACTTCACTACTGAATTCGGCACGGAATACCTTTTTTGCACGTCTCCCCAGCCCCGTGATAGTGAATATAGCTGTACTTCTCCTCCTGCGGATTGTAATGCTGTCTCTCCATCTCCAGGAAGAAATAAGTTATGTACTTTCCAGTTGTAAAATAAAGATCCTTGATATTAATCTCCTCCTCACTATCCACCGAGTCATCATCCGAATGTATTGATTCCGTCGTATCTGACTCGTCGCTGTCCGAAATATGCCCCTGACCCAGGTGTTTTCTCTCCTTTGTTATCAACTTATTACTAGCTTTAATTTCCGCACCCACTGGGGCTATCATCTCCCCAACATCCCCGGCAGAAATCACTTTCGAGTTCTGCATTTTCACTGACGTCTCCAGAAACGCATTCTTCAACTCCAAATACCGATCAGAACTACTTTGCGCACGTGTGGGTGTGTCGTTGGTATTGGATAACCTCAAATTACCCGAATCACTGGGTTTACCGTCCATGAACGGTATATTTTCGCGATTATCTTCGAAATTATGCTCTCCATGTCCTGAGATTTTCGAATGTTTCCCCGGATGGTGGGTGTTTGACGTAAGATCAGCCGAGCAAACAGCTGTTTCAGCTTTGTTTACTCTAGTCCTGTCAGTAATTGTTGGTTTAGAAGGGGAGCCACATGGTGTGGACCCCTTCGATGCCGAATTACTCTGCGACATGTCCTCATCACTCTCTGAGGATAACGAGTCATTACGATTTTTACTGCGTCTTCTACCCCCGAAGGCCCTCGACACTTTGTAGAAAAATGATTTTTTCTTGTGCCTTCGCTTCGGACTTTCCTCGGACATTACGAATAATTAGTTTAGTTGGGGCGATTTAGTTGGGAGATAGTGGTAGGCAGTTTATTTTATTCGAGTTGAAATAAGGCGTTCTGTCATCGAACTTGAACGGCCCGCGTTGAGCCACCGACTGACCGATGCACGCTCGCGATCTTCAAGTGCGTTTCAGGCGGAGGGAGGAGGCACCCACACACTGATCGATTATCCTAGTGTTGCCATGTACGCATCCTCTAGTATTATTCATGAAGAAAATCTATCGTCTCTGATTGAGCATGTGTCAGTGGCCTTGATTTTTCCATCCTATCGCTGGAATATTGCGCGATTTGCATTGTGTGATTTAGGAGGAATATTGAAATAGATTGCATAGGCGAGTGGGATTTATTCGCTTTTGTTGATTTTTCTCGCTGGGTGAATATAGTATTGACTGATTTATATAACTTGATTTAATGAGTCTATTATAACTTGGGGGTCAGTCAAGTATTGGGTAAGCTATTTTTCTGCCATTTTTTGAGACCCCTCCCGCCGTGGTGCACGCAGAGAATTAAATAGTAAATATTAGCATGGCCATGGGAGGGATTACTTGGTAGTATAGTGAAAGGGGTTTCAACTATCCCTAGATGGTAATCCTTACTGTCGCATGGTAGTGCTTACTATGCCACATATGTTAATGCTTACTATAGTCCATGATAATAGTTACTATGTTCCATAGTAATGCTTACTATGTTCCATAGTAATGCTTACTGTGTTCCATAGTAATGGTTACTGTGTTCCATAGTAATGCTTACATAATAATTACATAGTAGTGCTTACATAGTAAGCATTACTATGGAACACAGTAGTTTTTTTTGTTCATAGTAAGCATCACTATGGAACATAGTAAGCATTACTATGGAACATAGTAACCATTACTATGGAACATAGTAACCATTACTATGGAACATAGTAACCATTACTATGGAACATAGTAACCATTACTATGGAACATAGTAACCATTACTATGGAACATAGTAACCATTACTATGGAACATAGTAACCATTACTATGGAACATAGTAACCATTACTATGGAACATAGTAACCATTACTATGGAACATAGTAACCATTACTATGGAACATAGTAACCATTACTATGGAACATAGTAACCATTACTATGGAACATAGTAACCATTACTATGGAACATAGTAACCATTACTATGGAACATAGTAACCATTACTATGGAACATAGTAACCATTACTATGGAACATAGTAACCATTACTATGGAACATAGTAACCATTACTATGGAACATAGTAACCATTACTATGGAACATAGTAACCATTACTATGGAACATAGTAACCATTACTATGGAACATAGTAACCATTACTATGGAACATAGTAACCATTACTATGGAACATAGTAACCATTACTATGGAACATAGTAACCATTACTATGGAACATAGTAACCATTACTATGGAACATAGTAACCATTACTATGGAACATAGTAACCATTACTATGGAACATAGTAATGCTTACTATGGAACATAGTAACCATTACTATGGAACATAGTAAGCATTACTGTTCCATAGTAAGCATTACTCAACTCAAGACGTTTAAGACTTAAACTCTTCGACAAAAATTGAACAAATTAAACTCTTTATTTGAAATTTTCCCCGTATTTCTGTGAAAATTTCACAGAAATCCCCTGAAATTTAACAGCACTAGAATTTTCCACAGCCGGTGGATTGTGATTTTTTCCAGTACTCGTACTAGAATTTTCCTAGAAAATTTATCTCCGTGTAGTGAGTGAAAATAATCAACAATACATGTCATTGGATAACGTTATCTATGTAAAAGTAGTGAGAAGAAAAATGACACGATGAGTAGATTAGATAAGAATTATACACGTTGGACATTTTTCCAAGGTTTTTCTGTCTCTGCAATTTCTGAAAATCGCATAATGGAAAAACTAAAAATTGGAGAACGGCTCCCTGAAAATCAGAGACACGGAGAGAAATTTTTTAGAAAAATTCTCGCGCTAGCACGGGAAATGAGGCGCGAAGTGAAAACGTGAATTTTTCCCCGTATTAGAATTTTTCTATAAAATTTCTCTCCGTGCATGTTCCTGAAAATGAAAATGTTTTCTTCCCAGCGCATAAAAGTTCAATCGACTTCGTTGGGTTTTTCACTGAAATTTTTTCTCGCGTGCAAATGAATTCTGAACTCACCATCGGTGTAAGCACTCTTCCGATGCTCCTTCCCAGTCGTATTACTCCTCCTGACCCCGCACTCATGACAACACTTACTCCCCCTCATTTTGACCACCGGCACCTGTTCATTCCTCTCGATGATAGCACTAGCCCGGCAATTTCCATTGATCGAGGCTATTTCAGATTTAACCGATGCTCGACTCAACGTCGGTGACAACCTGGTTGCACTCATGCTCTGTGGGGGTGTTCTACTCCTCTCGGTCATCGCACAGCAGAGGGATAATTTTGTGCTCGTGTGAGAAGTCTGAGAGTTCTCAATTTTCGAAGTATCGTGAGACTCTGAATCCTTGTACGACACCTCCATACAACCGACCCTTGTTTTCTTATTCATTAAAATTTGACAGAGGGATTTCTTCTTCTGCTTGAGACGCGGGGAGATTTCGGCTTTCGATACCCCACCGGGATCACTATGCTCCATAATTAATAATTATTTTATTTTCCATTAATTAATTTGTTCACCACCTCTAGCTAATAATAAAATAAGTTTAAAATATTAATATCATTTTTATTAAATTTTCAGTTCTAGGTGTTCATTGGTTCTGTGGAGGAAAGTTTGGGTTTCAACCCCTTCAGCAACTCTGACTAGATTAATTATTAAGCACCGGATTAACGGAATCGATTGATTCTCCCCATTAATTTTCTTTTCAGTCAATTCCCTTTTTTATTATGAGTATCGAAGGCTTCAGGCCACGGAACAGGGTCTCTCACATAACCCATCACCCACAAATTGACATTTAACTCGGATTAATTATTTTTTTCCTAATTTATCAAGTTATTTTGTTTAGTTGGTACGTTTTAGGTCGTAATCAAAGGGTCACGAGGGGACTAGACTCACTCACTTCATCTCTCGATTAATATAAATTCACATTCTGCTAATTATTCATTTATCACTTATTTGGGGATTATTTAGCATGGCCTTGAGCCTGGTGAAAGAGTATTGAACACTCTCACTCTCACTCCTGCCTCCATTTTTCCCCGGATTTCAGCGGAATTAGGGAAAATGTTTTGTTTTAGGGAATCACAGTAATTTCAAGACATCGGTCATTGTCACCCGCATTTGAAGGAGTGGATAAGGGTGATTCGGGTCGTGGACACACTTCGCCATTCGCACAGGGCTGCACTGCGCACGTGGTACTGCGCATTCCGATAAAAAAAAATATTCAATTATGTGAGAAATCAGACAATAGGCAAAACGTCGATGTCAGGGTGAAACTTTTAGGTTTATTGTTGAAGGGATTTATGGGGGCAGTCTAGGTGTGGCGGGGGTCATTATGAATGCATCTTGACTCCTTAGAATAGGGGAGGTTGGGGTAAAACGGACACTTTTGACTTTTTTTAAACTGTTATTGAGGGGTTGAAATGTTGATAAAATTTTATAATTTTTTTTTTCAATGTAAAGAACAATTCTTTCCCTTTGTGGCGAGCCTAAACTGAGCTCAATTGATAAATTTGTTTCTGAGTTATGAATATTTTTAAAGAAGTCTAAAGTGTCCATTTTACCCCACCCTCCCCTACAGATTTTTATAAATTTTTTAATTGTTTTCTATGGAGGATTCGGGATGAAATGGCGAAATGGGAAATGTCGATTTCGGATGGAAATCAGTTTTTGGGAAATAGCGAGGTGTCTCGAGGAGATGGCGAAATTTTTGTTCAGATGTTTTTTGCAGGGGAGAGTTGGAGCTACAAAAAAGGTTTAAATGGGAATTTCGGTATTTTCTATAGATTCGGAGATATTCGGTATTAATATCACTAGTACTTCGAAAGTATTGGAGGGATTTATGGGGGCAGTCTAGAGGTGGCGGGGGTGAATTATGATTGCATCTTGACTCCTTAGAATAGGGGAGGTTGGGGTAAAACGGACACTTTTGACTTTTTTTAAACTGTTATTGAGGGGTTGAAATGTTGATACAATTTTATAATTTTTTTTTTCAATATAAAGAACAATTCTTTCCCTTTGTGGCGAGCCTAGAGTGAGCTCAATTGATAAATTTGTTTCTGAGTTATGAATAATTTTTAAAAAGTCTAAAGTGTCCATTTTACCCCACCCTCCCCTACATATTTTTATAAATTTTTTAATTGTTTACTATGGAGAATTCGGGATGAAATGGCGAAATGCGAAATCAGTTTTTGGGAAATAGCGAGGTGTCTCGAGGAGATGGCGAAATTTTTGTTCAGATGTTTTTTGTAGGGGAGAGTTGGAGCTACAAAAAAGGTTTGAATGGAAATTTCGGTATTTTCTATAGATTCGGAGATATTCAGTATTAATATCACTAGTGCTTCAAAAGTATTGGATATTTTCCGATAGTGTCAAATTTTGCAGATTTGAAATCCCAAGGGCGAAGCACGAGGGATTTTTCTGCAAAATTGTTGAATAATTTTTATAGGAATGGAAGAGAAGAAATCTGAAACGTTCAGTGAATTTTCAGGTTCATCACCGAACAAAGTACGAAATTGTCACGTAATTTTTCCCGATGAAATAAAATCTTACAGAAACTTGCCGACTTATTGTGCCTCCAAAATAAAAAATTCTTGAACGTTCAACAATTTTTGTGAAGCTGGCGAGTTATTTCTACGTTCCGTTCCGTAAGATTTCTCAATCGTTGGGGAAAAATTACGGAACGACTTGTCCCCACAGCGGTGAGTCATCAGACGGTTGGTTAATTTTTACGAAACAAATTGTAGAATTTACGTGACGATTCGTACAATTTCAGTTGCGACTCACACTTTTTATGAATTTTACTTCGCTCGCGGATTACGTTTCGAAACGTAATTTTTACGTTGTTTTTCTGGCAGGGGAGGTTGGGGTAAAATGGACACTTTTGACTTTTTTCAAACTGTTATTGAGGGGTTGAAATGTTGATAAAATTCAATATTTTTTTTTTTCAATACAAAGAACAATTCTTTCCCTTTGTGACGAGCCTGAACTGAGCTCAACTGATCAATTTGTTTCTGAGTTATGAATAATTTTAAAAAAGTCCAAAGTGTCCGTTTTACCCCACCCTCCCCTAATCTTTATTGAATTTTTCTCTCCGTGAAGTTGGGCTTAATTTTTTTTTATAAAACCACTTGGTGATTATTGATCATCCATGCATTATTTTTTTCCAGATCATTTAATAAAAATTTGGAGACGGATTGGAAGGCGATTCTTCTTTCTTTCACGGAAAAATTTCGCGTCCTTTTTCGTTGATTTTGCCCAGGGTGGGGGGTTGTCGGTTACGTGCCCCGGTGCATCTGTCGCTAGGTCCGCATGGTGGGGGCTGCAACCTCACGTTACCGTCAGACACGTTCTAGTTGATCTAGAGTCTCGTGCTATTGCGTCACAATATTTGTTTACATGTGAATCAAGTGGAGGAATAAATGTTGAAAGTTGTTACATGTCGCGTGCTCGGATGCGAGTTTTAGCGCTTTAGGTGATTAACAATTTCGTTGAATAAACGTGAAAAAAGCCTTGAAATCAGCGATAAACATTGAAAAATACTTTGTCAACTGGGTTTTTTGCGAGAACAAGACTCTTGTGTTTAGGTCTTCCTTTTCATTTTTGCTTATTCCCTTCAATTTCGCGTCGAGAAGGAGAGTCGTCTCCTCGGAGTGTGAAAACGTGCGAAGTTTCGAAGGACGATAGAACATTCTGGAATGCGTAGTTGCTGAAGGGCACGTCCCTGAATTTTGGGAGCGATACGGAATCTCGAGATATCTGAAACCCGAAAGTGTTGTGCATTTTCCATTATTTTTCCCCCCGTGCAGTACAAATTTTCCTCTCTCGTGACAAAGTGTTGTAACATGGATGTTATCATTGACACCGGTACATGTAGACATTTCGAAAATGCGCGGTAAAGATACGATGAACACGTCATTGGGATTGGCACGTGAATACGGTGAGTGACTCGAGTACTCAATAACAAATCCAATGATTTTTTTTTGTTTAAACATTTTTTTTCAGTTTATTCTTCTTGTTCTCGTCGATGCACGCCAGAAGGAAATTATCTACTTTTATTTTCGTAATATTGAGGAGAGGAGGGCTTTTGGGGGTGAGTTTTTTCGTGAGTTTTCAGACAGGAAAGGAGATTTTCCGAGTCAAAACTCGGACACTTCCGACTCGGAGGAATTACCAATGAGTGACTTTAATTCCAGAGATGGGAGTCCATGCGCAAAAGAAAATATTTCGAGAAATATATTTTAAATTCATTAACGAAGAAATCAACAATAAAATCGTACATTTTATTACATTTTTTTGAACTTTGTGCGCGAATAGTACAGATGGAGAAGGAAATTTGGTCGAGAAATTCCGTTGCAGGAATAAAACTCGGAGAATAATTTTTTTTAGAAAAAATAGGGGAGGATGGGAGAAACTCAGCATCGAAGCGGTAGAACGGTTTAAGGATATCCAAGTATCTTGTTACAGTTTGGTAGGGTAAACAGGTCAATTTACGGACGAGAGTTAGTTTCTGGACGATTTCAATTTTCATTGAATATTCCATAAATAATAAAATGAAAATTGTAGTGATTATTTCACCTTTTAATAATATTACTCGTGGATAATCATGTGATCAATTATTTTTTCTATTGATCGACATTTAATTAATAAAGAAAAATATGGCCCCCTCGTCCAGAAATTTGGGGTTTCGGCGGCATTCAAGTATTTTTTAATTTAATTATTCTTTGTTTGTTCTTTTCACTTGAAATAATTTTTTTCTATAGAAAAATCTAGTTCTATCGAGTTGTTCTATTGAACATTTCAGTAGAATGAGCCAAAACCTAAGAGAAATCCAACAGAATTGTCCAACGAATTCGCTAGATTTTTCTTTTATTTTTTTTCATACGTTATCATTGACATTTGAAAAAAATTCCAAGTGTTCATTTTGCCCCAATCACCCCTAATTGGGCGAGAGTGCCTACGTGACCCATTCCAGCATTCCATTCCACCATCGAACGGCGCGAAACGGCTCATTTTAACCCGCCCATACCTTCAAATCCCCCAATAATAACTATTTCAATACCGAAGATTTTAACTATTTCCCAGTTATCAATGAATATCTCGAAATCTACAGGAGATATCAAAATTGTTGTCATGACCTTTTTTGCAGCCCTTGATTCGCTCTACAAAAAAGGTCCTCATGAAAATTTCGGTATCTCCCTTAGATTCGAAGATATTCCTCGAAAACTCAGCCAGCAGTGAGTGACTTGAATCGTTTTACCACTTCGCTGATTTTAAATATCCAAAGTAATTTTCCAAACTAAAAAACACAACAAAAATGATCAAAATCGCATCGCTTACCTCCCCCCCCTCCTTTAAATATTCTAAAAACAAAATAAGATTGTTTCAATATCCCCGTTTCCATATCAACGAAGTAATGAATCCCTCTCGAAAATAAAAAATTTGAAAAACTTCGTTTCCAAAGAGAAGCTTTTTCAAACGCTAAAACCCACGGGACAATTTTAAAATCGGAGAGAGTTACTGTCGAGCGTTCGAGAGTCGAAAAAAAGCAGTAAGTGAAATTATTATAACTCAATTAATGTTTTTTTCCACGAATACTGCGTCCTAGCGAGGGAAAAAGGGCGAAACGCTGTAGTAAAATCCCAAAAGGTTGAAAAACATCTCGTCGTCGAGCCTCTCGCCGCCGCCACAAGGCGTCAGCTCGGTTGATTCCCCCCCAGCCACCCGTTTTCACGGCCTTAGCGGCCACCATTGTTGGAGTCCTGCATTTTGCTTGATGCCCAAATAGTGAAGAAAATTTTTTTTTTAATCTCAAATTTAACAATAACCACCCGACAATTGGCCGCAAATAACCCACCGAAAAATCATCACAATATCCAAATAAATTGGTACAGTAGTTTAATCATCAACAAGTAGCCCCTCCGCAGTGTATCGGAGGTGAGGTTCGTACACTCCCGAATCACCCCCTGGAGGAGTAAAAAAAATAGTGTCGAATGAGTCAAAAAAAGGGGGATAATCAAGAGTGACGAGATCCCGAGGCACCCTGCGAGCAATTCAACGTGGGAAGTGTGAAGTAGTTGTGAAATTGTGACTGGGGGGTTCCACGTTTTTATTTCCCAACTTCATCTGCTCCAAATGGTAATCAAATGATTCAGTGAAGTGAGTAGAAGTTGGGTCAGTGATTGCACGAGTGAGGGATTGGATTCGTTCATTGATAATTCAGAAAATTCAACGAGCCCGGTAATTAATATCCTATGAATTGATGATTTATCAGTGGGGCACGGGGTATGGGGAGAATTTTGTGTGCGTTCTATGGTGGTCACCGGGCCTGGCTAAATCTCGTAACAAATGCCCATGTGTGCGTGCATGTCGGTGCGTCGTTTCGCCTTTTTCCGAATTTTTTGGGGAGGATTGAAATTCGGTAAATTGTCCCCTCAGCTGCAGTCATTGGCGCATTGTTCCGAGGTTTTCGGGGGTTTTGGAGCTACAGTTCTACAGAATCATCGGTGTAAAGTACGCGTTGGAGGTGGTGGAATGAGGAAGTGAGACGGATGGGAGTGAGACAGTTGAGGAGGAAAGATTGATGCGAGAATACGAAAGAGAGAAGAGAATTAATAGTCTCACTTTTGATGTTCGGGGGGCGGTTTTGTGTTCGAACACTCGGAGATTTGCGAGGGAAATTTTCGGGGGTGGGTGGGGTGCACGAGGGCGGCTATCGCGTGGCTCGAGCTGGAGATTGTGCTTGCGAATTATTTCTCCGGGGATTTTATTTTGGCAACGCAATGCATTTCGAGGATCGGGCACTCGGTGCCGCGCCTTTTCGAGGCTTTTTTCTCCTGGTTTGAAGTTTTGGAAAGTGTGGGGGTCATTTATTGTGATCGTTTCGGGGGGTTGGGGGCGTTGGAGAGGAGCTTGGGGTTGTTTTGATTATGTCAATGTGGCGACTGATCATATTGGAAATTTTCAGTCTGAGTTCGTGGGGATTATTTTAGCGGACTTGGACAGACGGAATATTCATGTTTGAAGGGAAAAGGCGACCTGTTTTGCCCCGGAAGCTGCCAAGATATTATAAACATTATTGTTATTATGTTAAAAAAGTTTGTCGTCATGATTTTCAAGACAATTCCGTTGAAATTAATTGTTTTCTGCCCAATTTCGAATTAAATTTCTCTGTTCATTTATCGAGAAAACGAGTAATTTATCCTGATCGTTTCGGGGGGTTGGGGGCGTTGGAGAGGAGCTTGGGGTTGTTTTGATTATGTCAATGTGGCGACTGATCATATTGGAAATTTTCAGTCTGAGTTCGTGGGGATTATTTTAGCGGACTTGGACAGACGGAATATTCATGTTTGAAGGGAAAAGGCGACCTGTTTTGCCCCGGAAGCTGCCAAGATATTATAAACATTATTGTTATTATGTTAAAAAAGTTTGTCGTCATGATTTTCAAGACAATTCCGTTGAAATTAATTGTTTTCTGCCCAATTTCGAATTAAATTTCTCTGTTCATTTATCGAGAAACCGAGTAATTTATCCTGATCGTTTCGGGGGGTTCGGGGCGTTGGAGAGGAGCTTGGGGTTGTTTTGATTGAAGCGACCTGTTTTGCCCCGACAGTTTCTAAGATATTATGAGAATGATTGTTATTATGTGAAAAGACTTTGTTTTCGAAATTTTCAAGATCTTTCGGTCAAAATGAGTTGTTTTACGTCCAATTTCGACCAAAATTTTCGGTCAAAATGAGTGGTTTTCTGTCCCATTTCGAATTAAATTTCTTTGTTCATCCATCGAGAACACGAGTAATTTATTCTGCTCGTTTTGAGGGGTTAGGGGCGCTGGAAAAATGCTTAGGGTTGTTTTGATTATGACAATGTTGCAACTGACTAAAAATTTTCAATCTGAGTTCCTCGGTAATTTCTGTAGTGAATTTGGTAAAACAAAAAATTCATGTTTGATGGAAAAAAAACGACCTGTTCTGCCCCACTAGATTCTAAGATATTATAAAAATGATTGTTATATTGGGAAAAAGTTTCTCTTCACGATTTTCAAGATCCTTCGGCCAAAATGCGGTGTTTTCCCTCCAATTTTGAATTAAATTTTTCTGTTGATCCAGTGAGAACACGAGACAGCTTAAATTTCATGGAAATTTCGAACAAGATCCTTAGTTTGACGTCTCGAAACATGATGTGGAACATTTATCAGATTTTTTTTAATTCCTCGCGCTTTTCACGTGAAAAAACTTGGTTAATTTTCACTGGTCCCCCTTTTTGCTTGTTAAGGGATCACAGAAGATCGTTTAATTTTCAAATTCTCTGGCAAAAGTTATCGAGATTTTTTAAAACGTTAGTTTTTAAACGTTATTTCCTTAAAAATTTTGAGGAATCGGTGGTGTTCTATTACCCCTTAACGATGAAGTTTTCACATCGATTATTCAATTGCACTTGTTCTCATAAATTTCATTATAGAATGAGTGAAGAGTCCAGGAAGTGATCATTCTCGTTCGATGTTCATTGTTCTAGTCTTGTTTCTTCTCGTTGATGATAATGTGTTTAAAAAAATTATTTTTTGTATTTTTTTAAAAATTATTTCATAATCATTTTATTCTCGTCTTGTTTCTTCTTGTTGATGATGCAGTGTTTTTTTTTATTGTTTTAGAACCACCAGCCACTGATCTGTCGGTACCAAGCTTAGGATTTGACCAAACGTACTGTCCAGAACTTCCAGAGTACCCTCAGCTTGACCCCTGCTTCGGTCAGCATGGTGTGACTCGCTGCCCACCAGATCCAGCCCTTTACAATGGTAACGATTGATTGGGGAATTCTCTTCACTTATGATGGATGCTATTTCAAAACGGATGAAAAAAAAAATAAAATATCATAAATATGATTTATGGCGACATGAAAATAGCATAAATATTCGATCAATCCACGATAGATTTCCGTGAACGAAGAAATTTTTTTTTCCTGAAAGAAGATAATATTATTGAAACGATGAGAAACGATCAAAACAAGATGGGGTCCTGTATGAAACATTTTCATTAAAAAACCTAGAAAATTCGATAGAAAAGTTAAATGGATTTCTAGTCAACTTTTATTGGAAATTCGATTAGTTTTTAGATGATTCTATTCAAGAATTCTACAGCTTAAAGAATGGAAATGTCCAATAGAAACTATTTTATACAAAGAATTAGTTGACTAGTTTTTTCCAATACAACTTCTTCGATTGAGACATTTTCTACAGGAATTCCTCGACATAAATTTTCCATGTTTTTTCCACTTTATTTTTCCTCTCTTTTCATTGAAAAAATCGAATAAAAAATTTTTTTTGAAGCAGCTCAAACTAGCGGAATATTCGCCATGGATGATTCAATTTAGGGAATTTTTGAGGGTGTGATTGAATTCATTTGAAGCACGATATTAAAAGAAATCCCCTGAATTCTGATTTTCAAAAAATACAAAATTTTCGAATATTTTCGAATAAATCAAAATAACCATTATTGCTGTCGCCTTCATCTTCGAACTGTACAAAGGGACATCCAAACAAATTTTTTAAGCCATCATTCAATCAACTCTGAAAATTTTTCTAGTTATCGTGGGACAACCGATTTTCGAAAAAATTCAAAAATTGAAAAAACTAATCAATGAATTAAACTTTAATTAATGGCGTCGATGGATAAGGCTTATCAATCCCTGCATTTGAGAAAAATGTAGGAAATGAATTAATTCGATGGATTAATTACATGAGAAATGAATTAATTCCATGGATTGCATATTTAGGCCTTTTTGGATCATAATGGGTCCATATAACCCAAAAATTCCAAACCTCGAAAATGCACCATTACAATGCTTCCATTCAAAGGAATAAAACACCCAAAAAATCGCCTAAAACCAATTTCCCCTGTTCCAGGGCTACAATTTCCGGGATACGCGCCTAACTGGGCGCTTCCAGCAGCCTACTGGGACCCCCTCCAGAAGCCGCTGATCCTCTCACCGCCGATATCGCCCGAGTTTCAGTCTCACCTCGACCCCCTGGATCCAAAGCAGTCCCCCTCAAACCCTGAGGCCCCCTCGAGCTACCCCCAATTCTACTCACCAACTCCGCCACCTCACCAGCACCTCTCTCACCACCACCACCACCCGCCAAGCCTCTCTCTCCCCCCCTTAAACCGTCAAAACCACCCCCCTATCACGTTCCCCCCACACACCCCCCTCCCCACTCCCCCTCTCCACCGAAAGCCGCCCCGAGTCCCCAATCACCCCCAAAAGTCCGAAAACCTCCCCCATTCGACCCAGACCTCATCCACCTGGGAGGAAATCGAGATGTCAGGGCAGTACCCAGGTCACAGCAGACCTCCAGTGGGCACTCCCCCCCCTCAAACAGTCTGGAATCACTTGACAATGACCCAGGGTTCAGGCTTGAACCTCCACCCAACAGCCCTCACCGGATCCTCCCTGAATCCAGCGAATTTCTACAGTCACCCCTCAATGACTCGATCAAGCCACTTGAGCTCTCAACTGACCCCCCAACTGGCGCACACACAGGCCCCACCAACCTGGCACACCCCGACAGTCCCCTCTAAGTCCGTAAACTCGTCAAATCCCCCTGGCAACCCCCTCTTCAGCCTCCAGATGCTGGTGGACAATCGCCAGAGCCAGAATCAATTTCGTGTCTCCCCAGGTGCCCAAAGCACCCTCGACCTCTCCTCGACCTCAGAACTCCCTGAAAACTACTCACGACTGCCCCAGGACATCCCCATCAGTCTGACAGCCCGATCAATGGACAAAAGCTCCCGAAATGGCAACATAATATCCCCTCCGATTCCCCTGAACGGTGAGACATCCTCAGACTCTGGTATATCGTCATCAGTGCCCACTCCCAATTCAATAAGTGAACCAGTCTCTCTGTCAACTAAGGAGCCCCTGCCAACGCCAAAAATCAGTGTCAAGAATTTTGAGAGTAATCTCAAGGGTGTTGCTAATCTTCACGATAAGATCAAGGAATTGAGTGGTGATAATTTCACCCAGAAGGTGATTAATTTACCTCCAAGTGTCACGATTGAGCGTGTATCTGGTGATAAGAAAGAAGAGCCAGTTAAAGTTAAAGATTCGTTGAGTGTGATACCACAGGGACGCAATGTCATGCCAGTTATTGTTAATTTAACATCGAGAATGGATAAGGATGTTACTGACAGCCCCAGGCGGGAGCCGTCGACTGAACGGGATCGAAAGGTGGAGGAATTGAATGTTAGATCACCGAAGAATCTCCCCAAGAGGGGGAAGAAGGGGGTGGACTCACTTCTGGAGAAGCTTGAGGGTGGAAACAAGAAGCTGGGAACTGAGAACATTGGGTCAGTGATTGTGACACCAATCGACGACAATAGGGACACATCTAGTGTCAAGAGCATGTCCCCAGAACGCAGCTTCGACAAATCGTCAAAGTCCCCGACGAGGGAGGAGGACGTGGTGTCACCGGCCTTCAGCAATGACGACTCCAACGACAATACCAAACAGAGGAGGAAAAGGAAACTGGAGAAGCCTGTGAGGCTGAGTAAAGACTCTAAGACAGAAGTTGAAGACATGGAGCTGGAGCCAACTGAACCTAGGGAGACCAGGATAGCTGAAGGAGTGGCTGAGGAGGGGCAGCCGGTAGAGGTCTCACCAGGTGAATCGAAGCCAGAGGAAAGCGAGAAGGAGAACAGATTATTAGTCGAGGGAGCTGAGGAGCCGAGTGAGACGGGAAGAGAAAAGAGCAAGGACGAGGAGATTTCTAAATCTGGGGAGAACGAGCCTGTGAGGAGGAGAAGAAGCAGTGAGGGGTACAGTGGTAATCCCACACCGAGGAGTCCAAGGACCAGGAGAAAATCCAGTGACGATGTCTCTGAACTGAAGACCTCGAGCCCAAAACGATCTGCCAATGCTAATCCCTTTAACGAGGTTGAGTCGGAACTCGAGAAGATGTTTGCTGGGATCGTTGAGCCTGAGAGTGAAGTGAAAAAGGAGGAGGTGAAGGTTGAAGACGTGGATGAGGTTAAGAGTGAAGGGGTCAAGGTGGAGAGTGATGAGAAGGGGGAGGACGAGCCGATGGAGGTGGAGAAGACTTCACCTGTCACGTCGACTGTTGAAGCTAAACCAGCCCCCAAGAGGGGGAAGAAGGGGAGAGGGAGAGGGAAGAAGAGGAAAGTGGCTAGGTCGGTGGACCCTTTGTTCTCGGTTGATGATCTTCCGGTTAAGGAGGTGAAGAAGAGGAAAACTATGAAGGGGGGGAAGAAGCAGGAGGTTGGGAAGAAGAAGAATAAGAACTTGAAGACGGATGGGGTCAGGGAGATGGCGTATGACTCTGGGTCTAATGCCAGTTCGATAAGGTCTAGGGGACCTGTGGTGCACGTGGAGGGACCCAGGGACAGTCCTCTCAGTGTTCAGGTGGTTAATGCTCCGAGGGAGGAGGAGGAGGAGAAGAGCAAGGAGAAGAGGAAGAGTGTGGGGAATGGGAGTGCTGGGAGGAGCAAGAGACTCAGTCATCAGAATGATCTTGATTATCGTGGGAAGGTTTGTAGGATAATTAATTTTTTTTATAATTTCAAACGGGAATTGGGAGTTTAAATTAGTGGTGGGGATGAGAGAATGTGTAGACACGCGGAGAAAAAAGGTGATTATTCAGGGATATCTCGCTGGTTTTAGGAATCTGTTCCTAATTCGCGGTTGGGAAATTCAAAGAGTGCAAAATTTTGAAATTCAGTGATTTTGTTACTAATTTTTAATGATATTGTCACTAACTTTCAGTGACATCTTCACTGATTTTCAGGAAAATCTCACCGATTTATAGGGATCCATTTATAATTGTTAGGAATCTGTCATCAAATTTCAGTGTCAGCAATCATTGATGGTCGGGGTTATTTTAGTCAGTGTCGAGTATCAACAATAATTGACGATAGATTCTTAAACATCAGTGACATATACCTGGAAATGAATGACATGATCCTGAAAATCGAGAATTTTTTTTCCTGTGAATGAATGAGCAGTTGAATGGGAATTGAGATTATTATATATATTATTCCTCATTCAAATTCTTAATTTATATGTATTCTCTTCACGGTAATATTTTCAATTTTAACATACAATTTGTGAATGAATGGGAATGGAAATTATTCTGTAAACATCGAATAGCTTATAACTATGACTTATGGGATTGTGTTACTAAATATTTCACAATCAAAAAAATTGTCCATAATGAGTGATAGTTTTGATATTATAATTCATTTGAAGCTGGTTTGCCCATAATTATGGAGAATATTTTTATCGATGATATTATTCCTTCATTTCATTTTGCCATTTTTTACTCTAGTGCCAATTCTTATTCAAATTTTCCATTTGTAATTATTCTCTTCGCGTTGATATTTCCGATTTCAATATAAAAATTTGATCGCAGGTTAGTAGAGCTGGATTATTCAGTTCTACATTGTCCTCTCGGTACGACGCACATACGACAGACTCAACGTGGATCTGTGTGTTCTGCAAACTCGGTCCACACGCTGTTGTCCCTGGAGATCCACTCAGACCCCATCCCAACTTGGCTGGGCCTCATATAGCCCCGGGAACTTATGTTGTGCCTGCCGGGGTCCTCAGTGATCTCNGCCAATTCTTATTCAAATTTTTCATTTGTAATTATTCTCTTCGCGTTGATATTTCCGATTTCAATATAAAAATTTGATCGCAGGTTAGTAGAGCTGGATTATTCAGTTCTACATTGTCCTCTCGGTACGACGCACATACGACAGACTCAACGTGGATCTGTGTGTTCTGCAAACTCGGTCCACACGCTGTTGTCCCTGGAGATCCACTCAGACCCCATCCCAACTTGGCTGGGCCTCATATAGCCCCGGGAACTTATGTTGTGCCTGCCGGGGTCCTCAGTGATCTCTTTGGGCCGTATCTCATTGGCAATGAACGACTCGAGGATGGAATTCTGTCTGCTGATGAGCAGGAGATCAATACTGAGCAGAAAAAGGGAGGGAAGAATAAGAGGAGTCTGAGGTATGCTGGGCTGGCCGATCAGTTCTCAGCGAAAATGGGGAAGAAGAAGAGGAACTCGGTGGAGGCCACTGCCACCATGAGCTACTCGGGGATGACGCTGATTCCTGGGGAGGAACAGCGGTGGGAGGTGTGGCTGCATGAACAGTGCGCTGTTTGGGCCGCTGGGGTTTATTTGGCTGGTGAGTTTTTTTAGAATTCTGTTGACGTTTTCAAGGTTTTTAGTAAAGGAGTGGGGGTCACACCACTTTTTTGACGTGAATACGTTCACTGTTTACTGTTCGCTGTTTTTTGCGAAAACGCGAAAAAAAATCGAAAAAAATGAGCGCGTGACACATTTTGGCCATTTCCTTTTTATTATAGAAAATTAGTTTATTACCAATTCTATCAAAAAAATTCACAGCTTCACGCGTAATAAATCAATACAATGATATCGGGTGATGATCGATTTCAATGATTTGATTCAAAAATTTTTATTTCAAGGTGGAAGGGTCACTGGACTTCAGGAAGCTGTCTGGGACGCCACAAAGTCCATTTGCAATGCATGTGGTTTGAGTGGAGCCAATATTGGCTGTGTTAAACGTGGCTGCAAAGCTGTCACACATTACCCCTGTGCACTGACAAAGGGCTGGCTACTGGACACCAATCAGTATATCCCAAGGTGTAACCTACACAGGGTCACGTGAAATAAATTTCAAATCTCCTCAGATGATGAACAAAAACCAAATGAATAAGCCCCCACGAATAGCGTTTGGGCTATGGACATTTATCAATTTCTTGTAAATGTACAGTGAATATTTGTACATTTTCTTTTGTTTTTGAAAATTTGAGAATGAGGGAGGAATTTATTGGGGACATGAAGTCCCAAGAAACGATCAAACTCGAGTGTGTGATAATTGTTCTCGAAGAATGCAAGGGAATTTAACATTTTTGAGGGAAAATTGTGAATGTTTGAGGGCTCTTCGTTGACTGGATTTAATTGACTTTCTTGGCCCGTGGCCTTGAACAGTGGCCTTTTTCGATTTAATATTTAAAAAAATGAGGGGTAATGAAAACGATGGAGAAATCAATGAAATTTCTTTCTTTCGTTATTCAATGATGTTTATTTATGATTTTTTGTGGGTTAATTTGGCAGCTTTTTGATGCATCTGTTACTTTTTTCTCTGGATTCAACTGATTTTGGTTTATTTTCCTTTGGCTTTTATTTTGACCTCCGTCGTGATTAAAATGTCAGGAGATTGATCAATTTGCGAACAAACGAAGCCTCGGGCGATGAGAATTTCTGAGAAATTTTTTCAATCTTTCGTCTTCTTTTTAGTTCATGAAATAGTCATTCAAAGCTTTATTGTCAACTGATTTGTATAAAATTTCGCATGAGTTTATTTTGAGTGATTGCACATCATAGTTTCCATCGAGATGAATTCAACAATGAAAGTGCAAAAAATAGTCTCGAGACGGGAATTCGAATGTTTTAATGGTCCAGAATCACCAATGATTATTTTTTATTTGGATGAAATGCAGTGTCTAATTAAATTAAAATCTACAATCCATCGAGACTTTCAGGTATACCGACCGAGTAAATAGGATTTTTCCTTATTTCCTTTCGACATAATCTTGTATAAAAACTAATGTATAGAACCACAATGTAAATAGCATTTATCGTGTAGACGGAAAACAAATATATCTATATTATACATAATTATATATATGTATCAATGAATATGTGGACTTAATGATAGTGATGAGAAAATCCCTTGTGAGCTCGTAGTCGTAATTATTTCTAAATATTAGATACTAGTGGAGATGGAAATATCAACAACAGAGATTAAACAAATTTCTTGTAAATAAATAGTCGAAATAGAGTGTGAGGTAATGAATAAAATAAAATCAATAAAAAAATCATTGTGAGGTGAATGAAAAAAAAACTTAATGTGAATGATAGGTGTGAATGAGGGAATTTTCTGCGGCGTCCGAATAATTAAATTAGCATCTCATTCAGGAGCATTGAAATAATTTAGTCAAAATTACATGTAAATCATTTAACATGAGAAATCACCAATTTTCGTGGATTTGTATGGGAAAAAAAACGTTGAATAAAAACAAATTATATATTTAAATGAGAAAATATACGGAACAAATTTAGTCAGAGTAAATTCAGAAAAGGGACAAAAAAATGATGAAAAAATAAATAATGACTACTAATGCTTAGATTTAATAAGGAATACATATTACATGGAGATGAAAACGCTTATATTCTACATTTGTGGAAGGATTTAAAATTATTGAATGAAGAATCACAAGAGGAATTTTATCTAAGAAGTGTATATTAATCATTGTGATACGGAAAACGAACAAGGGGAAGGTAAAAATTATTCTGGAGCACGAAGACAATTCCCCATTTTTTGCCCCGATTCAATTTTTCTAGTTGACTTTGTTCTCAATACAATTTTATATCAGTGAAATACATGAATATGATCGCCAAACGCACACGAAAAAATTTGTGTCGAGTGCTCCAGAGTAAAAGCGAATATCTTCATTTCGATAATGTTCAACTGTATAAAAACGAAAGAAAAAGACTAAGAAAAACTTATAATTTAGAGACAATTATCAAAGGTCATAGGCACGAGGGTAATCCCAACATCCCAATTTTTGGGAGAAGCCTATCCCAATTTGTATAAAGACCGATAATAAGAATGATTAAAGTGAAACAACAACAGAAAATTTGTAAGATAAAAATAGACAGAGGAGAGTACTGTTTAATGGCGCCGTCTGGAAGAGTAGAGGAAGTTTAATAAGAGACTTTACAACCCGTAGGTGAAGGCAAGGCCTTCATACAAGAAATAAGAAGACAAAGGAGAAGGAGATAACAAATTATGTACTGTTTAAAAATCCATAGGTTTTTAACTTCATTACTTTCTATTTTAAACCCATCTCACCCCTCCTCCCTGCTCCCCTCCGTTTTATATTATTTCTCTCTATCATCATCATGTAGAAAATATTTAATTAGGATTAATAAATTTTTCATTTCCGTGACCTGGTTTAATGTTAGTCGTATGAGATGATTAAAAAACAAAGTAACATGTAAAAATGTTTCTTTTGCTGTCTATTTAATTACATAATGATTTATGGATTCACATGGAGGATTGTAACTTGATAATGATTCAAGTACTTTAAGTATACAGACTTTGTGTAACATAAATATAATGAACTAATAAAACACGATAAAAAATCTTGGAACAAATTTTTTTTTGTTTTTATTTGAGAGTGGAGAATTAATTCAGTAGCGAATTGGTAAAACAGTTCAAGTCGACTTATCTCCCAGTTGAGTTTTTGAAGAATATTTCCGAATCTAAGAGAAATAGCGAAATTTTCGTAATTACATTTGTTGTAGCTCTCAATCAGCTCCGCAAAAAAGGTTATAACAAAAATTTTGCTATCTCTCTTAAATTCCGAGATATTCATTGGCAACTGGCCAATAGTCAAAATTGACTTGTACTGTTTTAAATGGACCCCTAAAACCGAAGTAAATTCATCGCCACCATAAATAAAGGCCCCTGCTATTTTTAAATTTCCGTGCGGCCTCCCTTAGTTAATTATAATAAATCATTTGTAATGATCAATGCCCATAAAATGCGAACATTTCATGAAAACATTAATTTCGTTCAGAGTTCAGTAAAACCCCATAAACGTCGGTAAACCACAACAGTTTGTTGACCAACTGAGCAAGCGCTGAGATGAAAATACCCCGAAGGCTCCCCACCACCGATCCCCGAGATCGAGCTCCGACCCGAGTCGAGTTCAGTGTCGCGTCGCCAAGCGACGAGAGAACAACTTTAGTGCTTTTTGTCCCGCCTAGTGCCCCTAAAATATCCGACTCTCTCCATGTCAGTTCAAAACAACAAGCGTGACAAGTAAAATAAAGTCAATTGATAAGTGGAATGGAAACGGAATAATAACACAGTGAGAAAATAATGTGGACTAGAAAATGGGAAATTTAGCCACTGCGGTGAGATTCGCTGCAGCTCTGTTGCCCTATCTAGTGGATTACGTCCAGGGGAACGAGGAAACACCGACAGGTAAGGGTTTATGCTGGTACTATTGAGGCGGTTGGACTCGGGGGAGGGGGGGATATTCTGGGTGTCATGTGCCACGTGCTGACGCCTCGCATTTCTCGTTTTGTTGTTACGGCTCGATTTTAATTCAGGGATGTGTGATGATCGGAGTTATTATTCCTCAGAATGCACCAGGATTACGATTATTACTTCATGCAATGCGTGGCGAATAAGATTTTTGTTGAACAGGGAGAAGAAATTTGTTGATTGAATTTTTTGGCGTTTTACATGTCAATTTCGATTTTTGAGAGCAGATTCCCGAGTTTATTGTGACTGTTTGGATTAAAGAGTGGAGGGGAATTGACAATTTTGACTGTTTAGTAAATATTCATAACTCAACAAAATTTATTCATTAAATTTAGGATAGACTCGTCACAAAGGGAAGGCAAAGGAATTCTTATGAAGAAAAAATTTCGTTTCGTTGATGATTCAGTGAGTTTTTAGCATCTAGAGAAGCCATGAGAATGCATCTTAATGCAATTTTTCAAATAAAATTGCGAGAACAAATTTGTTGACAGAATTTTTTGGCGTTTTAGATGTCAATTTCGATTTTTGGGAGCAGATTCGCGAGTTTATTGTGATGACTGGTTAATAAATATTCATAACTCAACAAAATTTATTCATTAAATTTAGGATAGACTCGTCACAAAGACAAGGCAAAGAAATTCTTATTAAAAAAACATCTAGTTTCGTTGATGATTCAATGAATTTTTAACATTTAAAGAAGGCAAAAGATTTCATTTTAATACATTTTTTAAATAAAATTGTGAGAGGAAAATAAAAGGAAAAATTATCATCAATATTGGTAGATTTTTTCAAAACATGGCACTTCTAATTCGTAAATGTGCGATCAGTGAAATGAACAATATTTTTATTGAATATGGAGAACAAATTTGTTGCTAGAATTTTTTAGAGTTTTACAGATTAATTTCAATTTTTCGGAGCAGATCCACGTGCCTGTTGTGACTGTTTGACTTGTTACGAGGGGCAGGCGACAGAATTTTTTATTAAAAAAATACCACTTTTCGTCATTGAATTAAGAATTGTTGACAATTAAAGAGGCCCAAAGGGGGCCATTTTTTAATCGAATTGGGTGATCCAATAGAATAGAAAATTACTATCAACCACATCATCTAAATTTTATTTTAGCATATTGATTTTTCTCAATCATTTCGATTTTAATCCACGAATGTGTGATACATGGAATCCGAGATTTTTAATCATCCAAGATTTAATCAAAAAACGTGAAAAAAGTACCTTTACCGGCTTTTTATCAACACGACCTTATTTTTCGAGAAGAGCCAACAAGCCACTTTCCAAATATGTCCTCTCTAGCGGTTTGAACTGCAAAATCAGATTAAAATACGGAAAAGTTAAAAATTAAACGTTGAATTTAATTTTATTTATGATAAAATCATTGCAAAATGAAGTTCTGACATTTACCCAAAGATATTGAAAAACAGTTTAAAGAAAAAACCCATTCTCAATATTTTTGAATATTCTTGATGCAATTCTCAATTACTTGTCTGAAAATACCTTAATTGCCCCATTAAATTACTGAAAAAAAATCACCCAGTTATTGTATTCACAGACTGTAACCGTACTGATTACTTTCTACAAAAATCAGATAAAAAAAGTAATAAAAGTGTCACAGAGACTTTCACAACATCTTTGTTAACATTCCGCGAAAACAAATGGAAAATCTATATTTGCACATTATCCCAATGAAATGAACTGTGTGACGTCTATAGTGATTTCAAAGCGTTTGAAATCTTCAACTTTTAACAATTGATTATTAATTAAGGGGGGACTCCGATGAAATTTTGAAGTCTTCGGGGGATCTAGGGACACTAGTTTTCAGAACACCATATTTTCCGAAATCCCTAAGGAAAACAAATTATTTTTGCCCATGTGCAGGGTTGCCAGATTTTGGCGATTTATAGCCAAAACCTGTAGAATTTTAAAGGCCGTGACTATTCGCACCATTGCGTGAATCACTCCCGTACACTCCATACACTCCACGCATGCGTGAAGTTTGTGTTTCACGCAGCCGAATTTTCATACTGCTGTGTATTTCACGCAGTTGAAGTTTCATACTACTGTGTGTTTCACGCAGTTGAAGTTTCATACTACCATGTGTTTCACGAAGTTGTATTTTTATACTACTCTGTGTTTCACGCAGTTGAAGTTTTATACACCTGTGTGTTTCACGCAGTTGCATTTTTATACGCCTGTGTGTTTCACGCAGTTGTATTTTTAT